TAGTTGGGCTATGATTTTTAAGTAGCATGAAAATAAGTGAAATTTTGCTAGTGCAATAAGTTGGTGAAATATTTGGCTAAGATAACTTTGGTCCCTACTTGCACATTTTTATTTTTAGCTTTATTGTATTTTTTGCTGTCTGCTAAAGCGGTGTGAAATTTTAGTGTAAGATAGCATGTCAAAACAGTACTACACTTGGGTTATATACCTCATTGTTTACTGGCCATTTCCTCAAATCTGTTGCATTCTTTCTCTCCTTTGGGACTTTCTCAGAGTATTTCCTCTGCCTAGCTCTCCTCCACCCCCACCCCCTTAACTCGCCTTACTATAATCTCCCACATTCAGCTAGGTTAAGGTCCCTGTGAAATTCAAAGTTCCAGGACTTTTTGTAGCACCTCTTATAGATTTTATAGAATTATTTGAGTAATTTTGTTTGTGGATAGCTTATCAGCTCTATGAAAATGTGACTTTGTCTTGTTCATGCTGAATTCCTGCACCTAGCACAGTGTTTGGTTCAGAGCATGGGTAAATATGTGTTCAAAGAATCAATGAGTTCACTCTATAGATCCAGCATCTTTGTTCTAGCAGCCATCACAACAGTTGCCAGGTGTAAGTCCAAGTGCAAGTTCTTAGCCAACCACTGGGCAAGATTCTACAGATTGAAGCTGAGGGGTTGGCTCCCTTGGGTCAAAGTGCTCACCTCCAGTTTATTGTGTAGCCTTCTCTCTAGAGAGAAGACCATGGAGCTATATCATACCCTTTTAGGGGGATGTACACAGGCAGTTTAACTAGAAGGGGCTGGCCATGTCAGGTAAATGGACTGACCGCAGTATTAGCCATAGAAGGCTCAGCTTAACAAGAAGGGACTCTCACTCTCAAAGACTAGAGGAAAGATAATGGTGGATATGAATGCAGACGAATCTGTAGGTGGGAAGGAGAGGAGGAGATGTTGGGCAGACCCTCAACTCCCCCATCACCTTGATCTCTTCTCCAAATCAGGAAGAAATGGTCTCTGCCGAATGTGGAGAGAGGTGGGAGTGCAGAGAGGGGTAGAGGGAACAAGTGAAAAGAATATGTGGGGGTGCTGTTTGCAAATTCCTTTAGTTAACATTCAACTCTATAATCTTTTATAAATGAAAGCCAAAGAGGCCTGTCTGTTCTAATAAAAAGTTTCCCCTTTTTTCCCCCCCTCATAGAAGCTGTATTCACAGGCAATCAGCAGAAAGTAACATTGCAAGAGGGAATTGGTAAAATGCAGGAGCACTTATAGAAGGAAATAGTGAACCACCAACTGATGGCCCAGTTTCACTTTTTCCATTTGGGGTACATTTTCTTTCCAGAGCAGAGAGTAGCTGCTGTTTTGTGTGGGGCTAAGAAATACATGCCTCCTTTATAAAGAAAGTGTAATGGACCAGAATCTGATTTTATGGTAATCTGTATTTTGAGCTAGGAGCCAGAGCATAGGCACATATACGGTCTTGGGAATTAATATTCAGACCTTGTATTTAGCAACAGTGTTTATCCTTTTTTTTCCTTTTAAATCAGAGAAGGCAGTGATAACCCAAGTTAATTGCAAAAATAGTCTGTTTACTCTAAAGGATTTATATGTTTAAAGTATTTTGACATGAAATCTCTATGTGTAACCACCCTGTGCTTCATGCACATATATTTAGACCCCTGAAAACTACTGAATGACTATATCACTTGGAATTTCAGTCAAGCTTTAGACAGTCCAAGTTTAAAACATGCTGATGGAGGTGGCTAAAGCCAACTATAATTCTAGTTTTACTCAAGTAGTGCCTAAAGCTTGGAAATTAAGCTACTCTCAGAATGTGGAGGAGTTTGTCTTGAACTTTGTCATTTGGGCTCAGTTCATTATCTTTTTCTTCATGAGTTTTAATTATATTAATTCAAGATGTGTTGGTGTATAAGTCAAAGACTTCTGCATACTTATATCCAAGAATGTATAGACTTGCTAAATATATGAAATTTAGCAATTATAGATGATAGCTGTATGTTGGTTTGTCTACTGATGAGAAATGTTCCGATGAAACAGTAGTCGTTATTTTCATAAGGACTACTAGGTTTTTCACTAGGTAAGTCTTTGTTTTGAGGATTTTTATTGTTGCTGTTGTTAAATTGCTTCAGTCCCCTTGATAATTTTCTTGATCTTTAGCTTGTTAACAGCCACCATTTGAGTTCCGGGAAACTATCAATGACGATTTCTTTAGAATACGTATAGTTATTTAGCGTTTGCCCCTTTAGCTTGGAAGCGGCTCTGAAGGCAGGGACTGTGGTTTGATCACATTGTCTTCTTGGTGCTTGTTATTTATTGGCTCAGTAAATAGTTGAACGAATGAAGTTAACTCCTGTTTGTCTTTGCCTTTGGTTCTGTAGAGGTGGGTCGAGTTAATAACACAGGTGCTAGTGTGGTGCCTGGGTCCAAACCTGTGTTTCTAGTGAGGGTCCTTCATCTCTGCTAAGGGGGACTCTGGCAGCTGATTGAACTAGCGCAACTGGCTGCTCTTCTCTTGTTTCTAAAACTAAAATTTGAAGCTTGCCCACGTATGCTGCTGTAACTGCTTGTTCTGTTTCTTTAGGAGAAGTTTTTGCGTTGTGTGGAAGCTGTGACGCCTTGGGAAACTGGAGTCCTGAAAATGCTGTGGCCCTTCTTCCAGAGAATGAGACAGGTGAAAGGTGAGCATGGAAACGTGAGGTTGCAGAACGATTGTGACATTCAGGTTATAGACTTGGGGGCTTTTAAGATCGATACCTTGGTATGTTTGTCTTGTAATTTTTAGTTTTCTCAAGTTATCACATTTGCATATTTAAAGAGTAAAATAGTTTCACAAAGTTTGTTGTGAAAAAAACCAAGCTGCTCTGTTTCTCAATTTCCACGTCTCAAGCAACCATTTTCATTCAACTCTTGGCTGGTTCTTTTGGTACTTACCACCATATTTCTAAATAATAGACTTACATTGCTATTTCTTCTTTTTTTAAAAAAAAAAAAACAACCCTTTTAGGCACTATCTTTTGGCTTTTCAGTACATATTCTCCCCATTCAAGTACTAGCCAGGCTGGATCCTGCTTAGCTTCTGAGATGAGACAAGATCAGGAGCATTCAGGGTGGTATGGCTGTAAACTCAGTACATATTCTTGATGAAAGACCTAATTTCTCTTTACCTAAAATAATTTTCTTTAGATGTATATAGCATTTCAAAGGTAGCAGAGAGTGGAACACATACTTAGACAGCTGGTGTAATGACATTAGTTCACCGCTGACGTTAAATACAGCGCTAAACTCAAGATGGGTGTATTGGTACCTTGGACTGGGGAAAGGTGGATCTGGGTGCCAGTTTCAGTTCTGCAGCCTGAACTTGGTTGGATCTAATGTCTCTAGGTCTCGGTTACCTCATTTACACAGTAAAGGAGTTAGGATAGAATCAGTGAATGTCAACAAAGGTGGTGCTTCTCTACTTGAGGATATTTGGAAGTGTTATGGGTTGTCAAGATGTATGTGTGGGGGTAGGAGAGAGGAGATTCTAAATAATATACAAATACATGAAATGCCACTAGGGGGGAATACCAGAGTCGGTGATTATGAAGCTCAAATTCTGCTTTCCCGTGGAGCAGAGCTACTAAAAATACGGCCTGTGGACCAGTGCTAGACAGAAACTTTTTTATCAGTGCATGATGTGAGAAATACAAACATTGAGAGCAAACATAAATGTTTATAGTAGTTTGATATTGTTGGGGCGTTCATGCATGTCACTGTGGGCTCATCTCATTGAACTGGGTATGGAGACCAAACGTATTGGTTCAGGACAGATTAGGTAAAACAAAGAAGCAAACAAAAACTGGTTCTTTGCATCAGGGGCACTGATGGGAAAGCAAAGGAAAATAACAAGAAAAGTAAAACAACACCGGAATGTAAGCTAAGAAAAAGAAAACAAAAACCATGTGTAGGGGACCCTTTCTCCTATTAGTCATTAGTGTGCACTAATTTTCTCAACCACAGGTAATAATGTTCAGTTGATAAATAATACTGGGATTACAGAGGAACCAGATGTTTGTTCCCTTCAGGTGGCTATTTTTCCCTTGATTTTTGGATCAGCCACTCCTGTCTGAAGTGAAACCTCATATCTTTCTGAACTTGTTCCCAAAACACACCTCTGCTCTGAACTCTCGAGCTGCTCTCTCACCTCACTTGTCTTAAGTTCATTTCATCAACCTCATCAAAATAATGTGAACAGAATGAGATAACCATTTAATTTATGGGACCAGCCATTTTTACATTGCTGATGTACACTGAAATATAATTGATTCCTATATGGCAGACAAACAGTGCTTCACAAGGAGGAAGGAAGTAGATGATACAAGATGATACAAAAGGCAGACATCTGTCTGCCCTTGGACAGCAGTCCTGTGTTAGAACTGAGTTTCTTTGGGATGTCAGTGTACTCTGCATCTAAGGCTGTGACCCCATTTCACAGCCTCTTAAGCCTCTCCAAGCCTACAGGCTTGTTGGAATGTTTTTTTCTACTCATAGATACTTTGAAGCTCTTGGTATTGTTTCCTGATAATGCAGAAACTGTGGGTCAGTTGTGGTTCTATTTGCTTTCTTTGTAGATTTTATTATATTCTGGGGAAGGTGTGAAAGCGAATCAAAATCAGGCAGGTGCACTAAACCTTCTCGCTGCCCCTCTTTCCTCATTTATCTTGAATTTCATCAGCTTATGTTCATTCTTTTGTTTTTTTAAAGATTTTTTTTTTTAATTGGGGAATTGGGGGATGGGAACAGTGCTGGGGAGTTGGGGGAAGGGGAACAGACAAGTTGCTGTCCTTTTTGTTCTTCAGTCTAGTTGTGGAGGATGCAGTGTCACTGGCCCTCATGTGGGATCCGAACCGGGGCCCTGCTGCTCAGAGCTGGCATCCCAAGCCAGCTCTTAACCAGCGCGCCACTCGGCAGGCCCGCTTATGTTCATTCTTGACAACACTGAGCAGTTCTGGTTCATTTTTAACTTTGCTGCATTTACTTAGAGAACTAGAATAAAAAGACTCTGCTTTGCTCTTTCCATCTTTTTTCATTTAATGGTTCTTCATCAGGGTTGCACATTAGAGGGCTTTTAAAAAATGCACATGCCTAGATCCTACTCCTGGAGATTGAGAAATAGTGCATGAGACAGGGGCCCTAGCACATTTTCCCACAGCTTCCCACTAAATCTAGTGTGCACATCTGGGGCTAGTTTCATATGCTCTAGCTGACTGTAATATGGATAAAATACTGCTGGATATTTGCCTTTTTTAAAAAATTATTTTTGTAGCAGAGAGAGGAAATAAATTATCCCTTAGAGTTGGTAGAGTCTGCCTGGAGCCCTGTGTTGACTCTGAGGCTTATCAGGGAGAAGTAGTAGGGCACCTGTGCCAAGCATTTCCTCTCCTTGCTTTATAGCAGGGCTTCTCAGCCAATCATACACATCCATGTGACCAGGCTCCACCCAGACCTGGGAAATAAGTCTCCCAGGGTGGAGCCGGGGCATATGTATTTTGTCACTACAAGATTAATCTGATTGCTGTAGGTAGGACCAGGGGTGACAGCTGGTTGTGGGTATTTCTTAGGACCCAGGACTGAGTCAGAGTGAGGATAATGCCCTAGGAAGCCTGTCTTGGCAGAGGCAGGTAGGGAGCAGTGCTAGCCATCTGGTGTCACGGAAGAACATTGGGAGCTGCCTTTTATTCACTGAACTGTTCATGCTGAATTAATGTTTGGGTAATGGTCTATGACTGGCTCTCAAAGTGTTCAGTATCAGAGTCACCTGTTAAATTATATGTTGCTGGGCCCATCACGAGTTTCTAATTAAATAGGTCTGTCTAGGTGTGGCCTGAGAATTTACATTGCTAACAAGCTCCCATGTGATACTGATGGTCCTGGGACCACACTTTGTATACCACTGGGCTATGATTTGAAGTTAAAAATCAGTTATAATCATGAATTATAGTGAACTTTTTCCACAGTCAAGTCAGTTTTAGAATAGCATTAGAATATGTTAGAATAGTGTAAGTTCAGAGGAAGACATTGGGTTGTAACAAGTAAGATACAGATACTGATTGCTTGGCTAAGGGAATAGCCAGAGACTGGGCAGGACAAGAAGAAGGGACAGTTGAGAACATGAGTGTAACTTGCCAACTTTGGCCCCAAAGACTCTTAGAAGCCATGCAACATCTCTAGCTAAGTGGGAAGTCACAGAAGATTCTGATTCTGGCTTTCACCTCTGCACTACTTGTTTCTGTTTGGAATACTTCTCCCGGATCTTTGTATGACTGTTCCTTCCCATTATTTAGGTCTCAGTTCAGACACTTCTTCCTCATTGAGGCCTCCCCTTTAAAAGCTTTAGAACATTGGTTATTTGTGTGTCTACCCCCACAAGAAAACAATCTCTTTGAAGATGGGGCTCTTTCTGCCTTACATTATCACTGTGTTCCCAGCACCTGGTACAGATTAGGTCTGGAGTAAAATTTTGCGTAGGAATAAATGGTATTGGTCACAGACCTTACTTGAGGGGTTTTATGAATTATGAAGTCTATGCATTTTTGTTTGGTATTGATGCTGCTGCTTTAATTTATTTTTTTCCTCACAGCATGTCATGGAAAGTCACCATTGTACTCAGTAGAGGAGTATCAGTTCAGTATCGCTACTTCAAAGGGTGCTTTTTAGAACCAAAGGTACGTTTTCTTCATCCAGTTTCCAGTTTCTTTAGCAAACTTACTTCTTTCAAAAGCAACTAATTTAAGTTTGAAAACATTAAAAATGAATTTGTTTTGATCAAATAAGGAAACTAGAACTCTAGATTAATAATATTTTAGTACCAAAAAGCAAGGAAGTAGCCACTTCAAAGGCAGATGATGTCTGCAATGGAATTTTAAAAAACTAATAGTAAGTATGTTCTGCAATATTGTTATCATGGTTTTAATGATAAATAAATGTTCTCAGTAGGTGTGCATTTTCTGTAACTTTTGTAAACTAGTCAGTAACCAATTGCAAGGTTTTCTTTCTGTTTCATTTTTTAATCTTTATGTGGCATAAGTACATTTAGAGGAGCATATAGCCAGCTTTAGGTGAGTAATTGTTTTAAAAAATTATTTCACAGCAGCCATCTCTTAGTGGCTGCATTGTTTAGCTTCTATCAAAACTGAAGTCATTCCTCTTAGATTTTTTCAGTGATGGTGTTGCTAGACCAGGATCTTTCCTGAAGGCCTTTGGAGTCTCTAGTAAATCTAAATATGCTTGTTCACAGTGGTTGATTGTTTGGGGATTGTTTACATATTTAGAAAAAAGTTGATTCTTTCCCTCTTATTGTAAAGATACTTATTTGCTGAAAGGATTCTTTTCCTTCAGATTGTTACCTTTGAGCATACTTGGGCTGCATGTGAACAAGGGCTTAGTCGGGAGTCTAGGAAGCAAAACGTGGATTAGACCTTTGAAAAAAATTTGTTTCCCTTTGGGGTCATTGAATGCTTGTTACATATGAAAAAGGCAAACAGCCACTGTTACCTCGTTTTCTTAGCCACCATTATAAAAAAGAAAAAAACTGACAAGCCCACTTCAGCTGTCTTTTGCACCTATTACGTTTCTTATTCCGAGAATATATAATTGTAAATATTCAGTAATTAAACTTAAATTACATGATGGTTGATCATTGTGTTGGCTTATCTTGACAATAGTCTCACTTTAATGACTTGAGAAAAGATCACTTATTTGGTATAGGGGTTATGCTTCATGGCATAATTCTTCAGTATAAATCGAGCAATTAATGCATAGATATGTAGGTCATAGCACTCATGACATTGAAAGCTTATTTGAGGATCCTGGTAAGTGAAATTTGTAGCCTGTGAAATGAACTAAATTTTACTTATAAGGGCATTTGGACAAGAAAATTATAATGAATCCTTTGGGTATAGTTTTCTAAAGTAAGACTATTGTCAACACTGGTCAAATTAAGCCAGCCTACAGTATTTTCTCTCTTCATTGGAAGTGTGACCAAAGCAGCATATCAGTCCAAAATGCCTTTTTTGAAAAAAATTGGCAAGTCTGCCTACAGTAAAAACCAAGTTTTTCCCCTTGTAATACTTGCAAAAGTTTACAGTATGTGTTGGTGAGTGTGTTTCTTTAAGTAGGTGCTCTGTATCGTGTACACATGTACCGTGTGATGCAGGGGCTGCCATGGTAAGTATGTTTTTCATGGAATAGAGTAAATAGCTACATAAAATCCCATGCATATGGCTAAAGGGCTTTTTTCCCCCCACATACCAGCTTAAAGTGACACTTTTTTTGTAAGTTGGTGGCACTTTTTAAATGAAACAATTTTAATAGAAAGAATTATGAAACTTTGTTTCAATTGTGCATTGTCAAATGATAGAACTAATATGCAATGAATCTTAAACCATGAAATGATGTAAATTATTGGAATACATATTTTATGAATATAGAGAATAATAGGAAAGCGAAGTAATTACAAAAGCATTGAAAAGCTGAAATGAGTAATAAGTAATACTAGGTCAGAAGTTTTAGGAGGTAGTCTACCCAAGCAGTTGTAGAGCCTAAGCTAAAAATCTTGTGATCTTGTCACTTGATCTTTAGACTTCAGCTTCCTCATCTAGAAAATGAATTTGAACTATAAATTTCTTAGGTCCCTTTTGTTGCTAAAATTTTATTGTAAATAATGTAAAATTTTACCATTCATATTTTCTCTTCCATATTTTGCTCCTCCTGGCATATTCCTTTTAGTTTAGAAGTTGAGTCTTGAAGTCCTTTTTCTCTTAATTTTTCGTAGCCGCGTGTTCTCTTATACTTTGTAGAAATAGAATGTGAATATGTGGAGTTTTAAGATAGTTTTACAGGTGACAAATCAAAATATTAACTTATTTAAACATAGAAAATAAAGGTAGTAGATAGTCCTGGAATGAAAATATTGGTGTGAGCCTGCAGATGATCCATTAATTTCACATATTCACCAAAGATAATTTTTGAATTAACATGTAATTTAAACATTTTTAAAATCCATGTCCACCCCTCTTTGTGGCTAGAATTAGGGATGTTACCTCATACAAAACTGTTAGCCAATTTTTAATTATATTGTCCTTGAAATTTTTCCTTTGTTTCAGTGGAAATAGCTCTTTATTTTTCAGTAACATATCTGTTTCTAATTTTTATAGGTGTAAACATTCACTCATAATTAGATTCATTGCAAACTCTTTTACTTTATTCTTAATCTACTTTGATTATCATTTAAATCTTTTAAAAAGAGTATGAGTCATCTGTGATAGGCAGATAATAATTTATTTTCAGAATAGCCCAGGTTGTCATTTTGTATAATGGTTTCTTAAAAAATAAAATTCTTCTAACTTCTAAATATCCTCAGCCTGTTAACTTCAAATTTGAACCATCTCATATATGTCTGTCAGCCTAGCTTTCTTAGCTTTATTCACTCCTAGGGAACCATTTATCTTGTCTTATTAAAATTATTATGGGTCTAGCCTCTGACAGCATAGATTAAAAATTCTTCAGAGACCCTTTTACATGCACATTTCCCCCCAAAACTGTGGAAAGGAAACAATCAGTAAAAAATTTAAAAGTTCACACTTAACATTTTTCATGATATTTAAAAGCAGCGATATTGCATACTACTTGATAATTTTGCTTGGTGGTTTGTTAAAACAAAACAAAAGCTCTAGTCTACATGTTGGATAATCTTGTTTATTTCTCTCAGTGCTTGATGTAGCTGAGTGATGTCAATAACTATTTAAGAAAGCCGTCATTAAGACTTTTGTGTGTGTATAGGAACAGATTTTATTTTTTGTATTTTTGTTGTATGAATGTTTAAAACATTTCAGCAATCATCTGTTTTAATATATGCTAAATTGTGAAATAACTTTACCAGTACTGTTAATGGAATACTGTCTTGGACTGATATTGTTCCTTTTTTTCTCCAAAGATCCACCTTCCACTTGACTCCAAAATGCTTAAAATTGTGGCAGCCTTTTACAGAATGGAACTGTTCTTTTTTCTAAGATTTTGAAGAATGTTTTTCATGGAATAGAGACTTTAAAAGGATTGCATATTTTGGAGTCATTACTGAGATTTTTAATATATCAATGCTCAGGCCTTAATTATTTTTTTAAAGAACTTCAGTAAGCTAAAATTTAAGATTACCTTCTAAGGCTTAATAAAGTAGTCATAACAATTTTGGAAGTTCACTGTATTTTAAAATTTGGTTCGTTTTTTTCCCCCCAATATTATAGCACATTGTGTATCAACCAACAAGGATTTGTAGTGTGAACACTAGTAGACACAATTATAAGTCATCAGTTGAATCGACCCTTTGGACTTCTCAAATTTTTCATTCTGTTCAAGCCTAATTGTTTTATGCTGTGAGTAGTGAATTTGTAACTAAAACAGATGAGTGTGGAGTTATTAAAATTACAACTAAAATACATCCCCTGTAAAATATTTTAATCCACAGGGCTATTCTTACATAATTAAGTATAGATGCTGCAGTCAACACTTGGTCAAATTCTCCTGATTCAGGAATTAGAACCAAAAAAACTCTCTTTCCTCTAACCACTGATATTTAACATTATGTTAATAGCATCCTTTCAAGTCACTTTTGATTAGTAACGTCTATAAGAAATATAGATAGATCCACACCATCTTTGTAGTGAAGAGGATTTTTGTAGTGAAGAGGGTGGGGGTGGGGGAGGACATGGGCAGAGTGGAAGAAGGGAATAGATTAGTTCTTTCTGGATGCTTATTGCGAAAAAACATTGTTCCTATTTTTAATGTATACATTTGCATCTCTTGAGGATCAGAAAGTTTGATGTTTAAAAAAAACAAATTCTGGAAAGTGTGACAAAAAAACTGGTAAAAAAATGTCTAAGAGATGTAAGATTAAACATATCTCATTTTTAGTTGTAGTGGAAATGAAATTCACCATATTTTAAGATGAGCAGTTTCACATTTACATTTTTAAAAATATCTACCCAGAGGGCCCGCCGAGTGGCTCAGTTGGTTAAGAGCTCGCTCAAGAGTTTGAGCTCTGAGCAACAGCACTTTGAGTCCAGCTCGAGCTGAGCAGCCGTTGAGCTGCCAACAGGTAGCAGGATGGCTCAGCTAAAAAAAAAAAAAAAAAAAAATCTACCCAGTCTACCAATTCATAGGTGAACCCTTATAACAAGGAGGCATTTGGCTAGAGAAAGTGAACATTTCCTGTATTGTCTCAAGATAAATGATGTGAATGAATATCTAATGCTATTTTAGTTTTCAAATTTCAAAAGTTTGCAAGTTTTACAAACGATTTTAACCTCTGGTAATTTTAAGTGGCAGAATAATCTCTAGTGTTTAATAATGTGCCAAATTTGTTACATACTTATTATCATTTGGCACATTTTTAAAATATAATCAATATTGAAATCCTATAATATGTTATAGAAGAGTATTTAATGCCATCTAAAGATGTACAATATACAGAGAGAAACTTATGTTCCAGGCTTTAAAAAGTATATTTAGTATATGTCTAGAAGAGGGCTTGAAGGTGATGTATGAAATTGTTGATGGTGATTATCCCTAAGTGATGTGATAATGGGTGACTTTTGTTTTTTCTTTTTGCTTTCTTGCATTTTACTACATTTCTTCAGAAGACATGTAAAGAACAAAAACTTAAAGTAACTTATAAAGTTATAGTTCAAAATTTGCCTTTAAAAATGTATATTTAAGGGTTTAATTTTGGCACATAAATTTAATTAGTCATTTTTTTTAATAAAGGAAAATTAGGAAGCCTTTAATATTTCAGTTTTTTATCTAAATGCAGGAATCATTTTTGGTAGGTTCATACCAACACATAAAGCTTTATTTTCTTTTTTAGTAAGAACTTACTAACAGAGGACAATATTAGGAATTGTCGCACTGTATGAATTTATAAACTCTAGGGCATCAGGAGTAAAGCTGGATGTTAGTTCCCCTTTTATCAAACTTGTTCTTCAAATTGACCCATGCGTGTGTCCTCTCTTTTAGGGTTTCCTGTGCCCTTTAGAAACACTGGTTACTGTGATATGAGAAATCTGATGTTCTTCCTGTTGTCTACTTACTGTTTTTAAACATATGTACATAATGCCCTCCAGTTCCTTGAGTAACGTGTGACAGTCGATCTTGAAGTACTTACTTGTTCCTACTGTTCCTGCTATCATGGAGTTTAGGCTTTTTCCAACCACTTGGAGAGTTACTTAACATGAGAGGCTTTATCCACTAACACCTCATTGACTGCTGACATACCAAACATAAAGTATATTTGTGGTTAACTTTAACTTAGGACAGAATATCAGTTAAAGATTAAAATTTCTTTGAAAAAACTTGAGTATCGTAGGCAGATTTAAGAATGGGTTTAAGACGATTCTGTGTGCCAGTTCATCCCATTTTTCTTTGTTTACTGCCTCATCCTCATTCTCTTCCAGCACCTATCATGTTTTGTGACCTGGTACATTTCTGATTTGGAGCATATAATATTGATAATTAACAAGATGAATCTCTTGGTTTCATATCTAGTATAAAATTTAGGCCACAAACATCTGATGAAGTCATGGGTAGAAAATAAGATATAAGAAATTATTGCAGACATTTAACTTTTAAATTGCAGACTATCGGTGGTCCATGTCAAGTCATAGTTCACAAGTGGGAGACTCATCTACAACCACGATCAATAACCCCTTTAGGTATGGGCATTAACTGCATCTGTTTGAGGCATATGCATAAAGTTACTAATGTGCTGCACAATGGCTTAGTGGGATTTAATAAATTTTTATTCTGAAGTTTAAGGTCAATGCATTGTCAGTACTACAAATTTCACTTAGCATATCATGGATCTTTCAAAACTAAATAGTTCTAATTGCCTTTCTTTATAAACTTTATTAGAAATGCTTGCCTAGTTATTTTTTATTTTCTTTGGTTAGATTGATTGTGGAATATTTATTTCCATTTGGAATAGTTACAAAGTTTATAAAATAACATTCTTCTTGGCTGAGCATCCATGGCTTTATTTGATTACTTGCTCAGAGAACTTAGAGAACATTTGAAGGAAAATTAACCCAAAACAAAGATTCTTAAATTTTTAACTTTGAATAGTAAGAATAATAGAACAAGTTATCCTATTTATTGTGTTTTTATAAGTTAATGACTATTTGAATAAACTTGTATGAATGAATTCAAATTTCTTGGTTGTAGCAGACATTTTCCTCCTAATTTACTTAAATACTTTGCTGGCTATGTTAAAATTGATACTCAGTTTAAAAAAATAAACATTCAATTTTCTTATGCCTAAAAATGGCATTTCTCTTCATACAAGTATTTTGAATTTCTTTTTCCATAACTGAGATTAAAATTTGAAGTTCATTTCACATACATTAAAATGTATACTTGGATTCATCTGTAAATTGACTCGGTGCTGAGAAATGTATCTTTTAGTTTCTAGGGAATATTAGAATGTAAAGATAATAAATGGCTTGCTAGTCATCAGCTTAGAAAGTAGTGAGAGATTCTTCTTTACCCTGTGGCACAGGTTATCTCATTCCATCCTCTTTATTGGATTTTCTTTTTCTATGTTTTAATATAGTTTTGATAGTGTGTTTAGAATGTTTATGATAATGTGCTTCAGAATTATAATAGTCCTATACTGAGGTTGGAAATTTTTAGATATTGAATATTTAAAAAATAATTTGCATTTTGAAGCATCTTGTAGTTAAATATATTTTCTTATTGTGAGAAGTGGGATGATTTTATTTGTGGTCTTTTAAAAAGAAATTTCTTTTATACTTTTGGAAACTAGCTTCTAAACTTAACAGCTGTGTGCAATCTATCAAAATATTGGGAACTATCACATTTATTCTGACAAATATTTCAGACAGGTTTAAAGTACACTGGGAAAGAGAGGAGCAGGGAAGAGAATTAATATGTTACTCAGAGGGTGGGGCTTACCAGTTGAAATTTCTGTTAAAAGGGCATGTGCTAGCACTTACTCTTTTGGTAGTTCCTCACAGCTCTGTGTGTACAGGTAAGTGTACATTGTTTGTAAAGCTTTTAGCTGGCTATAGAGAATAGTTGGGATTTGAGGAGAATTACATTTTAGGTAAATTCAGAATATGCACTACATAAGAATAAGCATTTTAATTGTGCCAAGACCTTTGGTTTGAAAAATCAATCAAGAGATATTATTGTCCTGCAACCTGTCAGTCTCACACATTGGTGGGTGTAGAAGTTTGTCCCAGTGCCGCTAGAGCACCTGTCTGAGTTTTCTTTCTCTTCTTTGTAACATTGTGAATGATCACCAAATATGTAAGAACTGTTACTGTTTGATTGCCTCCTTAAAAGGGAATTCTTTATTGAGGGCTACAATAAATATGCTTATTCACTTTGGGCTGCTTTTAAAGTTTAGATTTCATATTTTAAAAAATGCTTAAGGTGGGTAATTTCTCAATTGTTCATTCTGTATACATTGTGAATTTTAACTAGGTTTTCTATTTTCCTTCAATTCTAGAAAGCGAAATTATTATTGACGACGGACAATTTGGAATCCACAGTAAGTGAGACTGAGTTTTGAAAATCTTTACTGATATGGTTCAGATGTTACCTTACATTCATTAGAAGCAGATAGCACAGGGAAATATGACAGAGTATGCTTTTGAAACTAGAGGCTAAATCCAAGAAACAGATACATTCTGTTAAATAATAGTTGCCAATATAATTCTTAGGCTTTAAAATTTTATCCTTTTTGCTTTTATTTGGGGATTTCAAGTATATGAGTTAATATCATCACTTTTTAACACTATTATGTTTGAAAATGATGTTAACAGCTCTAAACATTTAGTCTGAAATGTTATTCTTAAGCTAAATTTGTGCATTTCGTATGTTTATATATGCATCTACAGTAAAATCCAGATTAAGCAAAATGTTCTAGTAATTCTGGTTGAGTATTTAACAACTAATTTACAGTAGAGTAGAAAACCCTTTAACTCTGAATATGTTGAAAATGTGCATTTGTATACTTCTGCTTCAGTAAATACTTTATCTTGGGGATGCAAGTTTTCTTCAATGACTGGAATTCTTACAGTATACCAGCATTATCATGCTAACTTACACTTTCATTTTAGATACTATACTGTAGGAGTCAAAAGGTATAAAGGGGTGGCCAGAATGTGTGCTTGCGCAACTGAAACAGATAAATTGCTGATAACCAGTTTGCTTTCCTGTCAAGTATAGGAAGGAGCAGGTTCTGAATGTTTTGGTTGTGGTTTTTATAGGGACGTACATTTATACACTTTAGAAATGTACATGCGTTGGCAGCGTTTGGATAGGAATTGAACCTCTTTTCCTTGATATTATTTTGGGTTATTTATATTACATCATAAGGTAATCCAAAATACTTGAATAGCTTTAGTGTTTTGTATATGACAGTCTTGTCTTTTTTATTTACAAAAGGTGATATTTATGCTGCATGTTCTAGAGAGCTTTGTTTATGGAGGAGTAGTTTCCTTATTTCTTCAACTGTAATGCGTGACATATCCCTCTGTTATATGTGAATTACTATGTATGGTTATAAATCCATGATTTCTTTCCTCTTTTTTTTTTTTTTTGTTTGTTGTTGTTGTTGTTCTAAATTCAGCCTTAGTTAGCTTTTAGGATGGAAAGCCATGTCTCCAACTTTGTCCATTTCTGGAAACAGCTTAAAATTGAGATGATAGTGGTTTCTCTTTATTTTTAAAATTGCTAATTATTAAACATTTTGAAGATATATCTAAGAAGAAAAGCTTCTTGATTTTGTTGGTTGGTTTTTTTAAGTCCTGTGGAAAAACTTAGGTCCAGAAGAGTTGACAGCTCCTAGTATTTATGAAAATTTTATACCTGTGTTAAGAAACTTCAGCTTAAACAGTGCTAACACTGGGTTATCACAGCTGTGCAATTTATGGCAGAATGTATAAATGTGAGAATACAGATTTGACTCAGAGTTTTATTCCTACCTTCTCATATCTCAGTCCCCAGCAGTAGTGGTATACCTAGTTTCAGCTGAATAAATATCTCATGTGAAGCTTTGGAAGTTTAATAGTGATCCCTAATGAAACAACTGTAGGTTAGTAGCCATCTTGGAACATGTATTCTTTCAGAAATAGATTTCTATTATTTTGATAATGAATTCAACTAAAATATTTTTATTTAGTTAAGTTAAACTATGGCTATTGTTAACATTCATTTAACTTTCCCCCCCTTCTTTATATAGAAGTTCTTTTTCAATGACAAATTTAAGATTACCTATATATTTGCTTTGGAGAGAAGTAGCAGTGACATATAACTTGGAGTGTATTAAAAGCTGAATGTGCACTAGAATTGCCAGCATGTATTGTACTTACTGGATTATTTAAAAATTATGTGTAGTAACTACTGTTCTTCCTATTTACTTGCCAGATGGTGTTGAGACTCTGGATTCAGGATGGCTAACGTGTCAGACTGAAATAAGATTACGTTTGCATTATTCTGAGAAACCTCCTGTCTCAATAACCAAGAAGAAATTTAAAAAATCTAGATTTAGGTATGACCATGTGTACATGTTACTTAAGCCATTTACCTTTACTAATGCTGTAAATTTCTGACCCATTTTGTTTTTATCCTTTAAGTGTATAAGTTAAGAAAATAGCACACTTACAATGTCACATTTTCTAATGACTTCAGGGTCTTGTGAGAGTGAACTGCTTCCGTGCCTCAGATTGCTACAGTTACACACACTTACGTTAGCCTTATCTCTAAATTTAAAACTAGAAAATTTTGTTTTTATGTAGATAAATGATTTCCAATCTTATGCATCTGTGTAGTGTATACCATTTACAATTTTTTTAGTGTAGCAATTAATAGCTTATTTTTAAATTGATGTAACAGAAATGATTGTGTGCTAAATGAGGGGAGAATGGTATAAACAGAAAAATGATCGTTGGAAATATCTTTCAGTGTCCTAAACCTCCCTATGGCTCAAAAAAGAAAACCTTTCCATGAAGAAAAGTAGCACTTATCATAGCAGTTCCATATTAGTTTATTTTTAATCTTGTATTAATTTAAATAGATGTCCAGATTTGTGTGAATAGCTAAATAGTGAGTAACTTTATTTCTTTGTAATGTCATCATATATACCTTTGAGTGAGCTGGCTTCTCAATGACCCAGGCAGCCCTATCATTTGGATACTTACAACTTTGGGATAGAGATTTTTAAGTCTTGATATGTAATGCAGCCTCTTCTGACATAATGTAAAGGCGGAGTTGACAGGGCCATATTCAGTAACTGAAGTAATTGTAATCATACAATACTTAATTCTCTTCATAATAAAACTTATAATGGTATTATAGTTTGAAAATCCATAAATGCTTAAATATGATAGCACTTACTTATCCCAATCATAAAATAAATAAGGGAAAGAGTGTGTAAGTAACACTTCATAGTCCTTTGCTTTGGCCATTCTGAGAGTTTGAGTAAAGGGCTCTGGGTGTACCTTGTCTCTGCATTTCTAGGCCTCTGCTTTGCTTCTGAAAAACCGAGGTTATTGGACCACATGGGGGATGTGCAAGAGCCATTTGACTGCAAAGAGTTTCTAACCAGTTAGTCACATGTAATTGAATATTTTATTTACATGTTAAAAGCAGCAAATTGTGTAACAGTTGTAAATTGTCTTATTAGCATAAGACTTTGAAATAAAGATAGCAGTAGAAGATAAAGCCTTGGTCGGTTGGGCTTATTAGGATTTTTTTTCCTCAACTGTAGTTATGAAATGAATAACTATTAATGGTTAGGGTTCTGATTGGTTTGCAGATACATACTGAGTCCTATACTGTTCTTGTTTATATACAAATTATTTTGAGTGTATGTATTATTGTGTTGCTTAGGATAAATTGGAATATTTTCATACAACCATACTTAATTGGGATCTACAAATTAGTAACTGATTCCTATTGAAATGATGGTGCATAGCTAGAAATTGATGTTTATTCTGACCGTCCTTTTTTCCCAAATTCGTATTAGTGATAGACTAAACCTTCATGGGGTGGGAAACAAATTTACCTGCAAGAATACAAGGACTTTAAATAGTTAGCAACAGCTTATGCATTTTAAATAAAATAGGCTTGTTGTTCTATCTCATTACTGCCAAATTTTAAACACAAGTTTCTCTTTCAGTTGACTCCAGCAGAAAGTAAAAAACAATGTCTCTTTATGATAGACTATAACATGTATCTATTTAAAGAAAATCTTTAACATAAATAAATTCCTTCATAGAGCTTGAACTTGAATTTTCTTTTTTCTTTCTTTTTTTGGTAGATGCACGTTGCTGTTGGCAATATAGCCTTTTTCATCTTGCATGCCTCTCTTCCCTGTTCATTACTGTCCATTTGTGGTCTCTTTTCGTATATCCTAGTAGAGAATGTTTGTCCCTTCAGGCTCACCAGCAGAATTAGTTGTTCAGAAGCATTCCCTTTAAGAGTTTGGTTTCTGAGAAAAGATGATGATTTTTGTTTGGATTATTAAAGTGCTACTTTTATTTTTATAGTGTGATTATGGAACAGTATTACTCAGTGAACAATCTGTATAGGTGTTCCCTCTGGGAGACCTCAGACTTATGTGGCTATGAGACAAGGCTCAGCAGTAGTTGGAGGCAGGAGGTCATGCAGAGAAAGCAGCCCCACTAATACAATTTCATTATTTGTGTTATCAATCAGATCCCATTTAAATCTAGAATGAAATGTTTTTGTAGCTCAACTGTTACGCTATACAATGATGTTTCCTACATTAATAGTATTAAATTGTCTAAGTTCATTTTAATTGGTGCAAGAAATATTCTAGAATTGAATACTTTTTGGCATTGAAAGTGCTCTGTGCAAGTAATTGCCTTTCATTGAGAGTAAACTAGTTTTTGTTGCCCTGTACTTGGATAATTGGTCTTTGTTTTCATTGCTGTGAAGCCTATAAGAGTTTTAGACTCTTAGTTTATGTTTTTGTTCATTTGTTTCATTGAAAAAGTACATGTATACAAATACATACATAAAAACATGCATACATACAAATATATATATTTAATACAATATTTTTCTTTACAAACTTCAACGCTAATGGTCTCTTAACATTAACAGAATATGGTTGAATTTTGTGCTTGTGTAAATGTATTTGTGAAACTTTTCAAAAGAAATTGAGATAGCCATTTATAAATGGGATAATAGTAAATACCTTTTTAGATTCAATTTTAAGAAAACAAAGAAATAATGAAAACAACCTTAGGCATAATGGGTATTTATCTCATTTTAATACTTGACAGAAATATATGTAGATAAAAACATCAGTATTTTATAAAACATAGCTAATGCCTTAACCTGTAGTACGTGTAGCCTTTGTATAATATATTATTTTTGTTATTTGAAGATTTTGCATATTCAGGGAGCACTTCTAAATTTTAGCATGTAGGTAACATTTATATGAGTTTTCCTTCTGTTCCACTTTTTGCATTTCATTGTTTTTTCCGTTTGTGTAGGGTAAAGCTGACACTAGAGGGTCTGGAAGAAGATGATGATGATAGGGTGTCTCCCACTGTTCTTCACAAAATGTCCAATAGCTTGGAGATATCCTTAATAAGTGACAATGAGTTCAAGTGCAGGCATTCACAGCCGGAATGTGGGTATGGCTTACAGCCTGATCGTTGGACAGAGTATAGCATACAGACAATGGAACCAGATAACCTGGAACTAATATTTGATTTTTTTGAGGTGAGTAGTTCTTTAACTTGAGGGGGTTGAGAAAGAATGCAGGCATGAGCTTATTTTTGCATGTTTTGAATTTATTGTAGTCTAGTTTGTGTAAACATTTGGTTTGTACAACATTTTAGATGTTTAATCCTCTACACATTTTAGCAAGCTTAAAAAGCTAAGAGTTGACAGACTCAAGTACTATTAAGAATATAATTAAGAGAACTTCAGCGGAAGTGGTTTGAAATCAAGACCAGATGCCTCAATGTCTATGTCCTAAATATAAATGAATTCTATCAAAGGAGCCTCCAAGGACAAATAGAGGGATGGGCAGGCTGTACAGCTCTTGGTGGGCAATCTGACGTAAATAGCATGATTGAGTCCTCTTCAGGACTGAAGTCTGTGGTTTACAGAAGCACTGTAGTATAAGAATTCATCATAACAATTGACTCATTTTTGCAACTTTACTTGATTTTCTAAATAAGGAGTTAAAAAGTTGCTATGAAAATTGTGACAGGTTGTTCAGAATCTGTGTTGCCCAATTTCCAGAGCTACTTCTGACACCCATGCTAGGGCTCTGGTTTACTGGCTGTTCAGATGTTTCCCACAAATAATACTGGGTCCTCCCCTGAGGACCTTGCCCTGTTGTGCCTGGCTCAGTAGTTATGTGTATGGCTTTCCTTAGACTCTTGCTCTTTGGCACTTTCACTCCCGTTTTCACTAAAGTTTAAATCTTTGAGGTAGGTAATGTGCCTTGTTGAGCAGTAGCACCTAGCCACAGTTTCTTGAAAATGGCAGAATTCAGGATGGATTTAAACCCATTGAGTAACACTTGTTACACATAATTAAAATTATAATCCTTGAATTGTTAATTTGATGATTCCTTTAGATAGCCTTTGTGAATGGCTTTTTAGCTACCTTGCGTAATACGGAGTTTAAAGTATTTCCTTTCAAAAAACTAAAACAAAAAACTATGTTTAATAAAACTATATTTAGATCTTATCCAATTAATAAGATCTGTGGAATATGAAGTTTTGGTTGAATGTTTCCTTGTTCCTTTAAGGACCTACCTTTTAATAACCTCTTGAACAGCTTTTCTTTCATTTGGGTAGCAGTTTTGGAAATACTGTTTTATTTATAGACTAGGCTAATAAAATACCCAGTGTAACCTCAAAGTATTCAGTTTCCTAGGGAGTTACCATCTTTCTATGTCATTTGTGTATGCATTTTTAGAGGATATAATATACATTAAAAGCTCACTATAGGTATGTCTTAGTCTTTGAATCTAAAGGTGCTTAGTAACTTTCAGTCAGTCTTTTAAATTTACCTAATACATGTTAGAGGATCAGAAATGCAAACTAGCAGTTATGATTAATAAAGTAATACATAAAATCTTAAACTATTATACACTAAAAAATGTATTATTTATTACAAAAAAGCTATCTAAATTACCTGAATATAAATTTGTGTTTCTTATCAATCTTCCTCCATGGAGTTTTTTGATCTTTAAATCGAAAATATTCAGGTATAAGAATTTGGATTATTCTAAACCTCATTTTTCCAGGAAGATCTCAGTGAACACGTAGTTCAGGGTGATGCCCTTCCTGGACACGTGGGTACAGCATGCCTCTTATCATCCACCATTGCTGAGAGTGGGAGGAGTGCTGGGATCCTTACTCTTCCCATCATGAGCAGAAATTCCAGAAAAACAATAGGCAAAGTGAGAGGTAAGCCTGAAGAAGCAGGGTGGCCCTTTATAAATAAGCAAAGGTTAAGTTCAAGTTTTTATTAGTTTCAAATTGAGCTTTTGAGAATGGTAAAGATTAAACTAATGATTTGTTTTAGGATATTAACTAATATATTAATAATAAAGATATATCTGTTGAAATTTCTGGAAGCTTTACTTTGAATCAGTTTTGACTTGTTGATTTTTTTTTTCCTATTTGATAGATTGATAAAGCTAGTTTGAGTGGTATTTACATGTAATTGAGCTCATCATGGCCTTTTTAATTTGTCTTAATTTTTGTCCCTCTCCCCCCTTTTTTTTCCTTCAAAAGTTGACTATATAATTATTAAGCCGTTACCAGGATACAGTTGTGACATGAAATCTTCATTTTCCAAGTACTGGAAGCCAAGAACACCATTGGATGTTGGACATCGAGGTGCAGGGAATTCTACAACAACTGCTCAGTAGGTTGAATATTTGAGCAGTATTAACATTTGGTAGCTCAAACTTGATAATGTTAAATTGGTTTGACTAAGTATCAAATGATTCTTTTGTTATTACCCTGGAATTTAGATGTAACTTGGTAATTGGGGTTCTCAACTCAAATTAATTAGAGACCCTCTCCTAAGATTCTGGTCAGTCTTTTAAATACTGTACTGAATTGATGAGAGAGACATTAAAACCAGAAAGCCAGACCCCAGAGGGGAGGAGAGTGGAGGAAGGGGTGAGAAGGTTAAGAGGAATAAGAGGTACACACTTCCCAGTTATAAAATAAATAAGCCATGAAGATGAAGTGTGCAGTGCAGGGAATATAGTCAATAATATTGTAATAACTTTGCTTGGTGACAGATGGTTACTAGACTTGTGGTGGTGATCACATCATAAATGTCAAATCACTATGTTGTACACCTGAAACTAATATGATATTGTATGCCGACTATATTTTATTTCAAAAGCATTTTAAAACAAAAACAAACTAGAAAGCCAGGAGGGAAGGCTTGATGCAAAGATGACACCATTGTTTGTATTGTGGTCCTGACTTTTGGCATGTTGCCCTTCCTGGGTCTCAGTTTACTCATTTCACAATGTAGTTTCCATACTTCCACCATGTTGGTGTGTCAGCCTTTTCCCATCCCCAGTCTGCCAGTATTATTAAGTCATCTGAGGCTTCGTTGCAGGGAGCGAGGTTCTGTGCCTCTACTACTTCATGCCTTTGCAAAGTTTTTTCTCCTTAATTGGTCACCCCACTTGGGGAGGTTGTGTTTGCATAGGATGTGTCTATATTCAGCTTGTAAAGACCTGTAATTGTTAGAGCTTGCATCTATGGAATAAATGCACACACCAACCAACTGATGGTCACAGTCTTATTTTGGGGATGGCAAAATTAGCCTCAAAATAGAGAATAAGTACTGTTTCCATTGTTGAAAATATAGCTGACTTCCTTATTACATTTGTTTTCTTTATCTTCTTAGAGTATATGATAACTGTATTTCTATATATTCTTTTTAGGCTTGCTAAAGTTCAAGAAAATACTATTGCTTCTTTAAGAAATGCTGCTAGTCATGTAAGTGAACCTCTCTTTTTTTCAAACAACTTTGTACTGTTATTCCAAAGGTAGAAAAATAGAGAAATGTGAGTCTGGGGAGTCTCCTCCAGTTTTCATTAGTAGTTTAAAAATGGGAATATTTATGCTTCTTCTGAATATGTTTCTAAGTGAAGATGAAGTATCTCTAGGCATTTGTATTTAAATTCATGGTTAAGATTGAGATGAAAACAATGAAATCGTAAGCATCGTATTTTTGAAATAAATTTTAAGTGATGGGGGCAAGGAAAATGTTCCCCATTAAGCGTTGGTTTTCATCAACTGAATAATGTGCTCATTCAGGTGCTTTGGAAATAATGCTTATGGAAGGATTTGACAGTGACACCAAAAAAAAAAAAAAGTAACACTTTAAAAAACTTCGTCAGTTTACATCTTGCATACCAATTTGATTATGTTAAATTTCTTAACTGCTTATATCCAGTTATTAAGGGTTACGGGTCTGTTTTTAGCTTTTAGTTCTTTTCATCTACTGCAACTTGGCATTTTTAATCAAGAACCAGAGATTCCCCTACCTCCTCTCATTCCTCTGTACCTGATTAAAAAGCTGTATGATCCAAAGCTGAACTAGGGGGAAATAGAGGAACATCTTATTCTTTTATTTCCACTTTTTCCACAGTGTCTTCCACATGCCTTAAACTTTGCCTTTTTAACAATAGTTTAGCAGGTAAACTTAATTCGTCAGATGTTTATCACTTATAAATGAGCAAACATCTATTCTAAGACATACGTTTTTCATATTTTAATATTTCTAAAATTGGGATGGGTTTTACAACTTTCTTAGCTTTTCATCATGGATTGATTAGCAGTGTTTGTTGTTGGTTTTTTCCCTCTAGTGGTATGTACAATATTGATGCATTTTATAATTCATGACGTCATTGATTATTGTAACTATTTTGTTAAAAATAGTAATAGTGGATAGTTTTGTCTTTGTGTTGAAAGAATGGTATTAAATCTATGAGTATTGGGTTGTAGTTCATTATCTGGAACCAGTTTTAATTCACTGTAGCTAGCTATAATGTAAACATTGTTTTATTAGCTGTAAACATGTAAAGATCCCTGTTAAAGAACTTGCAAGATCTCTTCTTTTTGAGAGAGGATTTTATTAAGCCCTTCTGTATTCTGATGAAATAACTCGTATGGTTCACATTTTAGATACATGTTAATTATTAATGGCTAGTTTGTTTTAATGTTAAAAACATGTCTTTGAAGAGGTTTTGGTTTGTGCTATTTCCTAAAGCTCACACATGAATTTTGGGGTAAGTTTTCTCTCTTAATAAAATTATACTCCTAAAGGATTGTGATCATGTCAAATTAAACATATAAGCTAGAAAGCTATAACTTAATATGTTTAATCATTGCAACTATTTAGAGGTGGTAGGGTTTGTTTTCTTCGGTGGAAATGGTTTGTGTTATTGTCTTGTTTACAATAAACAGAAGGAGTTAAGCTTACTTTCTGCTTCATCGGTCATCAAGTAACTCACCTCCTTTGTTCTAACCTGTGATCCATGTTTACTCACAAATTGAGCAAGGCGTGGAAGTGTATCCATCCATTCTTTTTTTAATTCTTTTTTTCTGTCCATTCTTATACAGTACTTCTCTGGGCCATAGTAATATTACAAGATTCTGAGATCTTGTTTATATTGATCCCAGCTGGCTTGCTTTCAGTGAATGCGCAAATTTATATGTCAGGATATGTTCTCAGCTTTCATTTGGATTAATTTATATGTCAGAATGCATCTGGCTTTAAAAAATATCCTTCATTCTAATTCTTGTCTCTTTTCTTCTATTTAGGCTCTTGTTGGGAAATTTGTTATGTGCATCATTCTTGTTGCCCTTTTCTGTTTTCTCTGTCTTTTCAGCAGCAATTGTAGTTTCCTCTTTAATCAGTTAACTGAGGTTTTTCTAAGAAAGGCTGTAGTGTGCTGCTCAAATGCACCAGGGAGCAGAGCTAAGAGACTGCAGCTTATTCTTTTTCCCTCCTCATCTGTGAGGTTCAGTTGTCAGGCTAAGGTAGCAACAAGGTGTGAGGTAGCTCTGTGCTCCAGGTTCCTGTTAAGACCAATTTCTGTTAGTGGCAGTAGAGGTGACATACCTGTCTAAAGGCTGTTCACTGCCACTGAAGGGCCCTGGGGGCGTTCAAGTGAATCAGTGCCCATTTTTTTTCTCCAGGAAAAAATTGCTGTGCTATTGTAAAAAAAGGAAAATACTTGTTTTAAGAGAAGAAATTACTTTTTAGAAAAAGCTTAAAGTGTAGTATTAAATAATTCTTGAAGAAGTTTTATGTTTTTGTGTACATGTCTATTATTTTGTAGAGAACAATAAATTTCTTATGTCCTTGTAGTTTTAGATGTATTGTGGGCCAGAGAATGTTTTTCAAATACGTATTTCCTTTATTTCTGTCAGGGTGCAGCCTTTGTAGAATTTGATGTACATCTTTCAAAAGATTTTGTGCCTGTGGTGTATCATGATCTTACCTGTTGTTTGACTATGAAAAAGGTATGTTGAAATTCTTTCATTAAAAAATATATATAGTTATTAACTAGAGCTGGCCAGTTCATGTTGTTGGTGCGTTACTGCCAACCCCTTCCTCTCTGAACCTTTTACAACACTGAGAGAGTGAGGAGACAGGAACACGAGTGTCCTAGAGTAGGGTCTCTATTGCTACGTAATTGGTTTTTCATATTATTTAACTCAGGGGACGGCAAATTGCGGCTGGCGATCCACATGCGGTTCTTTGGGTACATTCCGTCTCAAAAGTTTGCCGACCCCTGGAAGAGACAATCCTGTCCCTCACAACAATTTAAAAATTATTCAAGAGCCATAAATATATTTTTACATAATCACCATTATGTGAATAATATCCTTTAAAAATTTTATAAATAAAACTATGATAGTTGTATTTTCATTTTCAATTTTACTTCAGAGCCTGTGGCTCATGAGCCGCAGTTTGCTAACCCCTGGAGGCTCTTCCGTTTCAAAAGTTTGCCGGCCCCTGATAACTAAAGGACATTCTAGGTGGTTTCTGTATCAGTCTGCCACTGTCTCTATATTAAGGCAGGAGAGGAAGCTATTAATTAGAGTGTTTGTTTTCGAGGCTCCCTTTTATTTCTGCTTCAAGTTCTTTCTCAAATTACTAAGCTAGTATGATTTGGCTAAAGTGGAAAGAGTCACAGTGAAAAATAAAATTGGAAAAGTGCTTTGGGATCAGATAGTGGAGGGCCTCAGTGAAGGGGGGTTAGACTTAGGAGCTAGGGAGATATGAGATATGAAAGACTTCAGAGCGGAGAAGGGAAATATTCAGAATTAAACTTCCAGATTAATATTTTTGATACCTGGAGGACAGAAAATAGAGGCAAGAGGGACAGTAATATGGGCCAAAAGTAAGGTAAGCCTGAATTGGAGTGGAGACAGTGAGAATGGAGAGGAGGGCATGACAGGAGAAAGTCCAAAGGGAGTTTTGAAAATGCATATAATTGCTTAAAATATTGTGTTATACAAATGTAATTGTTGTAATTGTATCCTGCCTTAACTTCAGTATACAAATTAACTAAGTGATTTCTCAGATACTTAAACTAGGAGGGTTTAAGTATTTGGCATTTTCTTTAAAAGTGTGTTAGGTATCATTTTTCACTGAGTTGATTTAAAGTTAAGGCTAGTCGGCTAACATGTGTGACACTGTAGCAGACCCTGCCTGTTGTAGTAGAAGCAGGTGGCAGAGCACCTGGCTCTACCTGCTAGTGGATCTAACCAGTCAGATGGGTTTGGACAGCCATGATGTATAGTAAAGGACCCTTACATCTTGTGAACTGGTGTTAGGAGAAGGAAGGCAGAAAATGCACCTATTTGATGACAGAAGTAGAATAACAGTAGAAGGGGAGTAGGTTGTTTTTGCTATGGGGAAACATTAATGTAAAGCAAAACAAAGAGTAGAGTGGTAAAGAACCTTACTAACCAAGATGAAGGCTATTGAATCTAGTTGTAATTTCTAAAAAAATCTGTGAGAGTTAATTGAAAAGTATTACTGATCCCCCCTTTTCACCAGACTTTGTCTTGCTCTTAAGTTGAATCTGGATGAGTTCATTGGGGAATGGAAGTAATAAATTACATATATTTTTAGTTTTAATTTTCAAGCTGGTATTTTCCAATAAAACCAATAGTTCAGAAGATTATGAAATGAACATAAATCTTCCTTTCCCCTTTCTCCTTGGTCGCACTTCCTTAATAGTTTCTTATATGCTCCCCTAGAAAAACTTTATGCATATGCTCATAACATATGTACGTGAATGAATATAAAAGTAATGGATTTTAGTATATTTGTTGGATTGATGATTTATTTGTGGTATATTAACTTATTTTCTTAAGATAGAGGTGCCTAAACAGTGATGTTTGATATGATATTAAAATCTAATAACAGATTTGCTTATGGGGAAAATGTTTATAATAGATTTCCTGTTAAGTATTACTGCTTATAGATAATCAGACATTTTTTTTCATAACAACTAATTTCTATGGCTGTTTTTAACCAAACTTAAATTTAAAAGGTTTAGAAAAGTTTAGAAACTTATTGACAGAAATTAATCCTTACATTGTACTTGCATGTTGATTTCCTAGTCATGCAGCCTGGATATATGGCAAATACATACAGCATGGCAGGAAGTAGAGGAAATGACTGACTTTTGGCTTTGTTTTTAGTATGTCTTTAGTGCCATAGCTTCCTCCCAGCTGTTTTTCCTTCCAGGCACTACCACCTACATTAAAAATAAAAGCTAGAATTTAAGAGCTGGGAGATGGTGTTAGGTGAGAAGGGCTCCCCTGCATGGGTTCACCATGGCCAGCAAACAATTATTTTCATCATTCAATAAATGAAGATATTAGGTCTGTATAGGGCAGCGGTTCTCAGCCTGTGGGTTGCGACTCTTTTGGGGGTCGAACGACCCTTTCACAGGGGTCGCCTAAGACCATCGGAAAACACATATTTTCGATGGTCTTAGGAACCGAGACACCACTCCTCTATCGTCTCCAGGCGGGTCCGCCCACATGCAGATATGCCCACATACAAGTACCCGGCTTCAAGACAAAATTTCATTTATTTGTAATTAGAAATAAATATTTCACAATATATAATTACATACTGTTTTTGTGATTAATCACTATGCTTTAATTATGTTCAATTTGTAACAATGTAAATACATCCTGCATATCAGATATTTACATTACGATTCTTTTTCTTTTTTTTTTAAAGATTTTTGGGGAATTGGGGGATGGGAACAGCGCTGGGGAATTGGGGGAAGGGGAACAGACAAGTTGCTGTCGTTTTGTTCTTCAGTCTAGTTGTGGAGGACTTTGATTCGCTGGCCCAAGTTGGCACCATCATTGCGCTCTTCCCGAGGCAGATCAGTCGCCGGCCTCTGAACGGCCGCTCACTGCGGCTGCTGGCCGCTCACACTGGCTGCCGGCCACACACGGCAGCCCATGGCAACCCACTGCCACAGGGGCTGCAGCCTACACCGTCACCGGCAACTCATGGCAGCCCAGCTCCAGGTTGAGCTGTTGTTCAGCATCTTAGCTGTGGAGGGCAGCGTCACTGACACTCACATGTGGGATCCGAACCGGGGCCCTCTGGCGTCCCAAGCCAGTTCTCAACCATTGCGCCACTCGGCCGGCCCTGCATTACGATTATTAACAGTAGCAAAATTACAGTTATAGAGTAGCAACGAAAATAATTTTATGGTTGGGGGTCACTACAACATAAGGAACTGTATTAAGGGGTCACGGCATTAGGAAGGTTGAGACCCACTGGTATAAGGTAAACAAACATTCATTAACAATTTGAGGTCTGTTTTTCTCTTTATTTTCTTTTTAGAAATTTGAATCTGATCCAGTTGAATTATTTGAAATTCCAGTAAAGGAATTAACATTTGACCAACTCCAGTTGTTAAAGGTAATAATAATAGTATAAAATGTAAATTATCTTTTAGTTTTAAGATTCTTTGTACTTGTCTGTGTGGTAATGTTCTTTTTGCACATGGAGATGATGGTATATTCAGTATGCGCAGAGCATATGCTTTGGTTTTCTGTTCTGTTAGGAGGAATGGGTTTGTGCTAATCCATCTGTCTTCTCTTAACAGTTTCCGTGGACCCCATTGGTTTTTGCATACCAATGGGGCTAGGCCATAAGTCTTTGGAGGCCATAGGGGCTAGCCAGCCCTTCCCATGCATAATCTTAGGTTGCTTCTGGTCTGCTTTAGCACTTTTTTTTATAACTGTCACTATTTTACAATTGGCCTTTTATGTTATTGTTGGTTTTATACTTATGTTACTATCTGAGATCTTTGTATATTTTGTTATACCATGTAGTTTTACATGATCCTTCTTCCTATTCCCGTTAGATAACCTAAATAAATGATTGAGTATAAACAGTTTCCTAACTTAAGAATTTTTATATTCTTCTTCCCTACTTGGACGTTTGATCATGATCTTATGTGTATGTATGAACATGTAAAATACATGCCGTCACTAGTGTTTATTCTTATTGAACTTACAATTCCACATTTTATAGTTTTATCTAACTTGCTGGCTTTTCAAGTTACAGTTCTGTTAATCACTTCTTTATAAACTAAGGCTTTTTTTTTAATGATTGCATTTTGTGTGTGTTTTCTAGCTCACTCATGTGACTGCACTAAAATCTAAAGATGTGAAAGGTATGTACCAATATGGAAACAGTTTTCATTTCATAGTTAGCATATATATGGTATTTCCTTATCCATTTTAACATACTCTGGTCATTTTAATGATATAATACTGGGCTATCCAAATGTAATTTGTAGACATGAAGGCTTTAACATATTGTATATTAATCTTCAAATGCATAGATGTCATGTGTGTAGTAACCATGATTTTTTTGTTTTAGGAGTTTTCTTAGCTTGATGCTCAAAGTGTTTTATAATTGTGTACCTACCAATCTTTCCAACATCTTTATCATTACAAAGTAGAGACTGTATATAGCAAGCTTAGAATCTGGCTCCAGAACCAGGAGTTTGAATGCAGCTCTAACATTGATCAGTTGTGACCTTGGGCAGGTTACTTTGCTTAACTACTCTGTGCCTCAGTTTCCTCAAAGCTTGTCCTGCCTACAAAATCCCTTTGTAATTCCACTTTACTTTCTACTCCCATGGAACTTACTAGCCCGTGTGATTATTTGAGGCTTAGTGTATCATTTTTTTTAACCCTTTATTTTTTTATGTGTCCTGTCTCTTCAACTAGAATGTAAACCTAGTTGAAGAAGGATGGGAAAAATGTTTCTATATTCCCCAAGACATTTACAGTACTCTGTATATAGTGGGTCCTCACTAGATATACATCTGCAATTGTGATAACAGGATAGTTGGGATGCCTTTGTGAAGAAATTGTAAAGTGCTTGAAGACTCCAGATTATTTCCAGAGCATACATATGACTTAATAGGCTTATAGTTCATGACTGTTCATAGTAAAATGAATTTTACCTTTAATTTATTCAACTAGAGAATTTTACGTGATTTTCTTTGAATTTGTAATACATGGGAATTTTTTAAGGAAAGAAAAGCTTGATAGTTAATTTTATTTCTCTTGGAAAAAAATTCTTATATGTCCCGAGATGTAATTTCTTTTTATTTAAATGGTAATGGTAACCAAATGGTAACATTAATAGCTATAGATTCTCTTAATTTCTAACTTTTGAGCCGATTTTGATATTTCAAATAGAAGTCTTAGCAAGGTAGCATAGCTCTTATTTACATAAAGAAATAACAAATTACTGGTTATGGCTACTTTTTGAAAAGTAGTATTACAACTTTTATAAGAAAATAATTACTTTTGGGGCCACAAACTGTGTTGCTTCTATGAAATGTTGCAAACTAGTCTTTATAAAGGATGCTTACTTCAAAAATGGGGGCTTAATGGTTAAAAGTAATACATAGAAGTGCCTTCAAAAAAAAATACTACATATGAAAGGATCTCGTAATTACTTCAGCATCTCTTTTTTTGCCCAAAGAATTTAGGAAAAGATCTTAGTGATAAAATAGTATTTTATCTACTAAGTTTTTGTAATTTAAAATTTCAGACTCTGTGATTGAAGAAGAAAATTCTTTTTCTGAAAATCAGCCCTTTCCTTCTCTTAGGATGGTAAGTTCCTTAGGAAAACTAGGGCAAGGTTATCTCATTAATTCTGTTATATCTGAATAATTAATTTTGGTCTCTTAAATGGGCACTAAAAAGTTTGTGTCAAAGACGACATTAACATAAACTTGTCATCTTTAATGCTTTTCAGAGAACATACATTTTTATGTGGTATGTCTATGCTACTTTTTTTTTAAAAGAGTAACTTATCTGCTTAAATGAATAAAAATTCCCACCTCCATGGGTTAATTTGATATGAATTAGCAAATGCACATATTTCTGTATATAAACAGGAAGGAGAGGGCACAGAAAAGGGTGTGGGAGAGGAAGCTGCGATGGTGGGAGGCATTTTTACAATATTTTAAACTGTTCATAGCTTTTGGAGAAAAATGAGATTCTCCAAAGAAATTAAGTATCCTGGTTACTTAAAATGAGACACAAATTTCAAGAATTCACTCTGAAAAAGTATAACAAAAACTAGAATGAAGATTTAAAAAGTAGACAAAATTCAAACCAGAATCCCTTTGACAGCATCAGGCAAGCCTAGATGGACACCAGACACTCATCTTGACTTTTGTTCCAACTGGCTCCATTTCCTAACCTACTCTTCTTCATTGCCTTTTTCTGGTGATGTCAGGTACAGTAGATTTTCTAGGCAAAAATAGGTCATTTCAGTTTATCATGATTATATCATCCACCCTACAAAAAATATTCTACAAGAGAGCTCCTAAAATGGGCATTGTCCTAGTGCATTTAAAATACATGATTTGAACAATTTTTCACGTATTAATGAAGCTAGCTAAGTAGTCATTCCTTCTAGTCCAAAATACTGAATCATTTCGTTCTTAGAAATCTCATGATTCCTAGACTTGTGATTTCATAGATCAGAAAAACAGTTGGTTTGACAACATTTCCTTAGCCAAATAACTTAAACACACATACTCATTTATTCACTCACTTTGCCATCACTATAATTCGTGCAGCTGGTTAGTATAGACTCAGCAGTAGATCCCAGGTCACCAGACACCCAGACTATGTTCTTAAAATTATATTGTTCTGTTAGTATGCTGTTATCCAATCAAATATCATATATATTATACATGTTAAATGATTTTTAAACTTTTGAAATAAATTGAAGTTAAAAACAGTCTGTTTCAAATTGATTTTGCCCTGAGTATGTTTATATATTTCCCTGGCCTTCATGTTTAAAGACTAAACAAGTCTGCTCTTTGTAGGTTAATAACCAGGCTTCATATTTTCAATTTGATTTTCTTGTTATGTTGCCAAAATGGTCTTACCGCAAAGTGTCTAGGTAGTTTAGATAAGTTGACATCATATTATTTGTTCATTTATATACTTATAGCATTATTTATTTATGAGCCTTGGTATAATCTTTCATTTGGCAATAACATCTTTTCAAGGAGTTACATACAGCATGGTATTTGTTAAGTGACACCACCTTCAAAACAAGATAGAAATCATGGTTTTTCATATAACCGTGTCTTGGTGTAATAGATTGACATAACAGAATGAAATTCAGAAAACATGATAAATGTCTTCTTAGATCCATGAGGTTGCCTAACTTATTACAGCTCACTTTGGATGTCCAGTAGTAATGGTGAAAATGATTTTAGGGTAAGGATCCATCTTTGTAGTAGTAGTGATCAGTTATCACAGTGCCTAGACTACTGTTTTTGCTGTTAGATTTCTTTGACTATCTTATTTAAGCTTAATCAACCCAGTTGTCAGTTTGAGTATGAGAAAAGATAATGTTTATGCTGAAGGCACAAGATTTTATTCTTACGAGTGATATGTTTTCTTATAGATTGCTTTTTGTAATAATTTTGTTTTCTTTTTTCCCTTTTTTTTCATCCTCTCGCTGACCCCCTTCATTTTTTCTCTTATTGTACCATTCATCTCACCAAAAACAAACCCAAATTTACCACCAACAAACAAAACTCTAGGTTTTAGAGTCTTTGCCAGAAGATGTAGGGTTTAACATAGAAATAAAGTGGATCTGCCAACAAAAGGTAAGTAACTCTCTATGTAATGCATTCTTCTCCTTCCCCACTGCCCACCCCCCGTTCAGTTTCTTTAAACGCATTCATTCCTATCTCTTTGTTTTAATGGAATAAGTGAAACTGAAAACTTACTGTGGCTTCTTCCAGCAAGCACAGTGCTTGTTAGACCTATCTAATAAAGCATATTTTATACTTATACTAATATGTGAGTACTTAAAAGTAGTGATGAATGTATTATAGTAGAAATTTCCATTTATATGTGTCTTACGTGCACATTTATATGGGTGGTTTCTGGGCATACTTATAAAGTGAAGAGTGAGAACTCTGAACAGTCAGAACTCGATAACTGATTAGTTTTTGTTTTCTGATTTTCCATCTAAACATATATTTTAAATAATTTCCTAAGCAGTTTTCTATAAGTGACAGTAGCTAGTAATAATTAACCAGGAAAAGAAATCTCTGCAAATGTGTTTTAAATGACTCCCAGATTTAGTCATTCTTTTGTTCAACGATTTCTATATTGGGTTATCAGAAAAGTCATGAGGCATTTTTGCAACGAAAAACAGAAAAAATATGTCATGACGTTTCTGACAACCCAATATATTGAACAGCTGCTATGGACCAAGCATTTTCTCGGTCCTGGGGTCAAGTAGTGAAACAAAATAGAATAATGCCTTGCCTTCCTGGAACTTACATTCCAGTCAAGGGATACAATCAACTATGTATCAGCTGGGGATATGTGTAAATGGATGAGATGCACATAATACGAGGGTTAGTTGGGATGGGGGGGGCATTGGAAGTAGTTAATTCAGGTATTGTGATTAGGCAATTGGAACAATATCCCAGAATTTGTTTTGGTTAGAATAATCTATAATTGCCCTCAAAACATGCCTTCTAAGTAACCATTTATAATAAGCTGGTCCTGGTTAACATAGTAAGTGCTTAACCAGGTTTTCCTAATAAGTTATTTTTAATTATCTGAGCTTTTAGATTTATTTTAATCACTAGTATTTATAATATTTAATCTTTGAATATCAGTGGCATTCTTGGTATTTTAGCTATATTTAGAGAATTATTTTTATTATTTGTTGAGAGTATTTCATATGCCTAAGACCCAAAGAATGAGATTTTTAACTGGTAATTCATAATTACCACGGTTTTTTTAATAATGAGCCAATGAAGTAGAGTCCTTTTGCCCTATAGTTTATCAAGAGTTTATAATATTTTAAAAGTTATAGTAGATTGTAAATTTCCAGAGTTTTAGCTTTTATTTTGTTAACTTATTAAAGCAAAAGTCTATTGATGGTATAATTGTATGTTGTGTATAAGTGTGTCTATACCTGAATTTTGATACCTGCACTGTCAAAAGTAGCTGTGTGGCCTTGGGCAAGTCACTTCATCTTTTTAGTCCTTTGCTTTTCTCATCTGTAAAATAAGAACTGGATTAGATTTCTCAAGATTTTTTTTCTAGCACTGTGATTCTAGGGTATGTAACGGCTTTCGTTTTCCTATTTATTTCTTCCACATAGGATGGAATATGGGATGGTAACTTATCAACATATTTTGACATGAATCTGTTTTTGGATATCATTTTAAAAACTGTCTTAGAAAATTCTGGGAAGAGAAGAATAGTGTTTTCTTCATTTGATGCAGATATTTGCACAATGTGAGTATTCATTTTTTTTTTCTCCGATACTCTTAGATTGTAGCTAGGACTTAGGGTACAAAGATTACGGTTGAATGGGGAAGTGCCCAGACTTCACCCTTGATTTGTCCTCTAGGTCAGGTTATGTACATCCCTTCAGCAGTATCTGCTGGGATGCCCTCTACTCCTGTGAACTCCACACCCACTGCGTCTTAGCACCTTATGCCCTGTGTTTGCGTGTAACATCTTCCTTACCAAATTGTAAGCCCCAAGGGCTTTCTTGTTTCCCATTTCTGAGAGTATTTTAGCGCTTGTGTAGAATAATTAAATTTTGTCTTTTTTGACTGAAAGGCAATATGCATGTATTAATGGTGGTTATATCAGTAATGTGATTGTGCTTTTTTGGTGTTAGTTTTCTTCATATATGTAGTATTTACTAAAGTTTCAAAATACTGTATGTTATAATTATCTCCCCAATGAAAAGTATTGTTTAAATTGTCGTTTTTAGGGTTCGACAAAAGCAGAATAAATATCCCATATTATTTTTGACTCAAGGCAAGTCTGATATTTACCCTGAACTTATGGACCTCAGATCTCGGACAACCGCTATTGCAATGAGCTTTGCACAGTTTGAAAATCTGCTGGTAAGTTATGTTTCAATTTTTTAAAAAATGTTTTAGGGCAGTAGTAAAGTGTCATGTTACGTTACACATCTAATTGGTTAGTTTTGACCTATATATAACAAGCAGATAGTTCTGAAAAATGAGAGTATTAGATCTCAGAATGAAAAACAGTTACATGAACAAAAAAATACATATTTTCTTGTAGGCCTAGGTTAATAAGTAAGTTTTATAGTTTAATTTTCTGAATGGATTTTATGAATCATCTAAAATGGTTAGACTATAAACTTGTTTGATAAAATAAGTTGTGTAATTTTAACATTTTCTTTCCCTGCCTACTCTACTTTGGAGTAGTTATTTTTTCATGAATAACTTATTTTTCTTCCTTTAGGGGATAAATGCACATAGTGAAGACCTGCTCAGAAACCCATCCTACATTCAAGAGGCAAAAGCTAAGGGACTAGTCATATTCTGCTGGGGTGATGATACCAATGATCCCGAAAACAGGAAGAAATTGAAGGAATTTGGAGTTAATGGTCTAATTTATGATAGGTATTTGTTTTTCATGAAAAATTTTCATGGACGGTTAGGAAAAAATTAGCTTTCATATAAAATTACAATATTTAAACTTAGTAAAGTTAAAATTCTATTGTTCAGCTTGAAGTTTATCTTAACATTTGTCAGTGGAATTTTGTAAACTTTGGAATACAACACAGTCACTTGGGAAGGTGACTGGGCCCTAAGCCATATGTACTAAAGCATCTTGGGGGTAGGGGCGGCTGTCTGCCCAGACCTCTTCTTGGTGATCTATACCACTTTCTTGGTGATCTCATCCAATTCTGTGGTTTTTCATACCTTTATATATTCCTAAATTTTTATATCTCCATACCTTTCCCCTGACCTCTAAATTTTTATATCCATTTATTAATACCTGTTGTTCCCGATTTCAGCATAAATGACAGCTCTGTCTTTCCAGTTTCTCAGGCCAAATCCTGGGAGTCTTTCACAACTCTGTTCTTTATCTGATATCCCAAATCCAGTCACACAGAATCTCATTTATTCCATCTTCAAATATATCCTGAATCTGTGGACTCACCATGTTTACTTTTGTCACTCTCCCTTAAGCTGCTTAATTTCTCATGTGGGTTGTTGAAATAGCCTGCTCACTGGCAAATGCCTCCACCCATGCCTTCCTGTATTCTGTCCTCAGCACAGCAGCCAGAGGGAGCCTAAACCCTCCCACTGTTTTCTGTGTCACTTAGATTAAAATTCCAGGCCCTTACCTCTCCTACAATGTCAACTTCTCAGTAAAGCCTTCCCTGAATATCCTAATTCAAATAACAACTTCTGCTCACAGTGCACTTCCTGTCTTTTCTCCATAGCATTTACCACCATCTGCTATATCCATACACATATAATATTTTACTTGTTTATTTTCTGCCTGACTTCCCCCACCCCCAGTACATCCACATAAGCATAAGCTCCATGAGTGCAAGATTCTTTGCCTGTTTTGTATCTCTAGAGGTTAAAACAATGTGTGATACAGAGTAGCAGCTCAACTACCAGAGTACCAAAAAAATGTATCATCTATATACATTTTTGTATATAGTGACACTTTGGTCAGCGTTGTTCAAGCAGTGGTTCACTGTAATCAGAAGTGTCTGGACGCTGATGGTAACCACTTTGAGCACCTCTTATTGTTGCAGAAGTCAGACGTGACTTGTATTCATCTTTTATTACTGGTGTATATTGAGTATTACAATTTTAATACAGTTTTCCTTTCTTAAAATGTGTATACTTTTTTTTAGCACTCTCTGTATTTATTGATCAAATCTTTTTCATTTCTTATTTTATAATCTCCCTGGGTATTTATGATATAAGTTTGTGAGCCACTAGCCTGAGAGATGAAAAAGTTGCTTAGTGTAAAGGAATTTGGGGGTTGAAAGGGATGTCATTACTCTACTTGCTAATACTTGAGCAGCATCATGCAAAGAGTAAGTGATGAAATTCTTACCAGGCCTGCTTTAAAAAATACTTTCCTTGGATTTAATTCATATTACTCTTTGTCCTATAAAGTTATATCACTTTTTTTTTTTTTTTACTATTTTGTCTGAATAAATCTGGTTTCAAAATTGCAGCCCAAATAATGCCTGCCATCCTTCTTAACTATTTGGTTAATTTTGCAATAAGCCACGTGGTTCATAGCTCTTTTTAATAGACAATTTCCAACTGATTAAAGGAAAATTGAAATTTTAAATTAACAATTTGAAAAAAGTGTTGGCTTTAGCAGATTTTTGAAGAATATTTCTTTTTTTGAGGAAGAAGAAGGAATGATTGCAAATATTTTCAGGCAAGAAAATGTATTGTGAGTTTATACTGTGTGTGACTTTGTAGGGCTTACAAATTTTAGGCACATACTTTATCTCAAGGGCCTTACTTGGTTGGAGCCAAATACTGCCATGTAATGGAGAACAGGAAGATGCTATGGGATATAAAAGGCCATAAAGAAAGTGAGTTCTTCCTGGCCTGGGGTCAGTAAGAATAAAGAGGAAGCATTGAGATGGACTTTTGGTGTGGTTAAGTTTGCTTTGACTGGATTTGTGTTTTAGGCTGAGGCTAGAGCGTGAATCAGATAGAACTGTGTTGAAGGTGTGTAGGATTTGGAGGAGATGCCCAACACTGGGCTTCTGCCAGAGTCTGGTGACAGGTGAGGTGGATTGTGTTAGAGTTGGTTTTTACCCTTGAAAGTTTTATGTTAGTTTTAATCAAAGAAGTACATATATATCTATGCATAATTACATATGTGTGTGTGTATATTATATATATGTATAATATATACATATATCTCAAAATTTAAATAGCTCTATGAGGCTTGCCATAAAAACCAGCTGTCCCATATACCTATCCCTTTCATAATCTCTAGCTGAGTTCCTGTGCCCTAATTTTTTTAGCTGTTTCTTCTGGTATTTAATGTGCTTATGCTATAATTTTTTCATTATCAAATTTTGACATTATATGGAAGGTTTGAATGATTAGTGATTCAGAGCCTTTGATTCATTTTATATTGGGGAGCCTTATGATGAGGATGGGTATTTTAGTTTGTCAAAAACTAATTTGTTCTCTTCTTTTACAAAGGTATTAATATACAGTAGATTTCCATTTCATCATGGTTTTGTGATATATAAACTGGTACGTTTGATTTGCTGATATTTGGCATTTCTGCATTTATAATAATAACATAGCCTTTAATTTACCTTTCTCTAATGGTTTGATTTTGGTATACAGAGAATACTTGCCTCAGAATAAATTGGGCAATGTCCCTTATTTTTATGAAAAAAATTACTTGCTCAAATAATTAAAAAAAAATACAGTATCAGACACCCACGTTTAAAGAACACTATCATTAGATTTTGAAGTCCCCCGTGTGCCTCTTCCAGCTCATTGCCCAATCTCCCTCAGGTTTAACTGCTTATTAAAACAGTAATTATTCTCCTTAAATTTTTTTTAAATTCTTATTTTTGTTGCTGAACGTACCATTTAGTTTTGCATGGCTTTAATCTTTATTTGTACTTTGGTGCATGTAGCTACGATCTGTTCATCTTTATGGCTGTATAATATTCATGGCTGTATGTTTCTACCGTGATTTATCCTACTATTTGAGAACATTTGGGTAGTTAACCAAATGTTTGCTCTTATAGCATTTGCTGTAAACATTGTTGACCAGGTCTCTTAGAATACATGTGTAAAGTTTCTCTGGGGCAATTACTTTCAAACCTTTTTGACCTCAACCCGGTTAGAAATGCATTTTCTGTTGCAACCCAGTGCACACAGAGATAAGTCTTGTGACTGGGCATAAAATTCCATGTCAGAAATCATTTTTCTTTAGAATTTTAAAAGCGTTTCTCTGTTGAGTGAGAAACCATGTTATTTCCTATTTCCCTCACATGTGATTTCTGTTTCCTGTCTGGAAGCTTGGAGAAGAGAGTTGTCTTTTTGTCACCAGTGTTCTAAAATTTCAGAGATGGGTCTGGGGTCTGGTTTCACCCATTGTGCTGGGCACTTCATAGCTCCTTCAGTCTGTTGATATATGTCCTTGAAGATGTGAAAATTTTCATGAATTATTTCTTTGATTTTTGTCCCTTCCATTTTTCTGTGTTTGTTTGTTTGTTTGGTTTTTTCTTTATAGAAATCCTTTTGTTTGCTTATTATACACTCTTGGACCAGATTTCTAACTCTTATCTTTTCTCCTATTTTCTATCTTTGTCTTTTTGCTCCACTTTGAAAGATTTCCTCAACCTCATCTTCCACCCACTCTATTGAGGTTTTCACATCTGCTATTGTTTTTAATTTCCAAAAACTGTCATTTTTTCTTTTAGTGCTCTTTTTCTGTATATGTAAGATCCTGTTTTCATTCAGTGAAAGTACTATTTCTCTGAAGGCATTAAGGACTTCTTGTTTCTTCGTTTGGAATTTTCTTCTCTTTTGCTCACTATCGTACATGTTAGAAGCTTTCCTCAGCTGTTTGGAAATCCTTGGCTGCTTCTCCTGATAAGCAATTGGAATCTAAAAAGCTTGTTGGAAGCTCTGAGTGTGTTAACTTTGATTTCACTGTGGAATGATCGGAGTGGCCTGTTTGGTCAACCTCTGATGTCATTAGGTTTAGAACTTTACTTTTTGGCTGCGGAGAGTGCTCATAACAGAATTCATATGAACTACCCAGAGGATCCAGGTCTGGCTGCCAGGGCTCTGGGAATCAAGTGAGGGAAGAGGGGTGGGAAAAGGAGGCCATATCTCTGTGTAACACTGGTTATGTGTATGAACTGTCTCTAATTCCCCTGGTGCTGATGGTGGTTTTGTAAAATGCCCCAACCCTCACCTGGTCTCCATAACAAGTGACTTCCTGTTTAATTCTCAAAACAACCTCGGTCATGGTGGGGGAGGGGTAGCTTCCTAGTCGGCCACCTGGGGGGAAGGGAGTTGCTTACTGTTGCTCAAAACCTTCACCCCACCCTCCCTGTTTTAACCCTTCTCCATTTCACTCCCAGTTCTAGAGAAATTTGGTGCTGCTTTTAACTCACCCTTTTCATTTGTTCTTCTACTGGCTTGTGATTTGGCCTTTTCTATTCTGCTAACTGAAATACTTTATTACTTATCCATCTATTCTCCAGCTTCCAAAACTTTGTTGCTTGTCTCTGGTTTTTCCCATATGCATGAATTTTTTTGCTTTCCCCTAAATCCCTTTGCTTTATTTTTAACAGGATATAGGGAGAGAGTAAAATCAGATGCTCTGTTCAGTCCCTTTTTATCTTTTATATATATTTCTTTAACAGAAAGCCTTTTTTTTGTTGTTTTGTTTCATTTTCTTTTGTTTTTAGCTGAGCCAGCTCAAGCCGGGAATCGAACTGGCAACCCTATCGCTCAGAGCTCACACTCAAGTGAGTTTGTAACCAACTGAGCCACTCGGCCAGCCCTCAGAAAGCCTTTGTTTTAATATAGTCAAATATTTAATAGTCAGTACATATTTTTATCTTGTTTAAGAAATTCTTCCCTACTGTGATGTCATAAAGATTCTTTTGTAGTACCTCATATAAGTTGCCTGGCTTTCACATAAAGCCATGAAAGGCCATCCTTTCCCTGCTGATTTGCATCGCCAGTGCTGCCATCATCACATGGGGCTTTTTCTGTGCTTTTGACTCTCAGTACATCTGCCAGCACCACACAGCTTTAGGATAATTCTCACACTGGTGAGCAGTTCTTCTCATCTTGATCTTTCGCGCTTTGAAGTCAGAACTAGGTATGAATTCCAGCTCTGCTCTAAATACCTTCCCATCTATAAAATAAGGCGTTGCCAATTGATTGACTTGGAGAGAAGCTTCTTGAAAAATCACTAGTAAACGACAGATTTCCTTTTTTGATTCAATTGCTTTCCCATCAGCTCTTTTGCATCAGGGGTACAAAAGGAAATGCTGTTATTCTGGACTGTTGGAAAGACTAGGAGAAGAGAAGCATTTTAAAGTAGAACTGATGCTTACATCTTTTTTGAAAAGAGGACACTTGTAATATGGATGTTCTACACATTTTGTAAACAGTCTTCTAAAAAGGTTAAGTCAGGTCTTAAATAAACCATAAAATTATCCTATTTTATGTGTTTTGTGTTTCTTTCATCATAGGATATATGATTGGATGCCTGAACAGCCAAATATATTCCAAGTGGAGCAGTTGGAACGCCTGAAGCAAGAATTGCCAGAGCTTAAAAGCTGTTTGTGTCCCACTGTTAGCCGCTTTGTTTCCTCATCTTTGTGTGGGGAGCCTGATATTCACATGGATGCCAATGGCATCGATAATGTGGAGAGTGCTTAGTTTTTATTGGGCAGAGGCCACTCACTTGGGGGCATGCACTACTCTTCTGGGTATTCACTTTTCATTGTAGAGCATTGTTTGTCTATGCCTTTTAGGTTTCTCAATCCAGTTAAGCAATAATGAAGTATTTTACTGTTTCACTACAGTTCTTGCTAAAATTTCAAGTATGCTATTTAAATCAATTGGCCAGGTATAATTACCAGTCAGTCTCATTACAATGAGAAAATTTATCGATTGGTAAATATTTTAAACTAAATATATAAATGTATAAATGTTAAACAAATGTTCATGAAAAGCATAGCACTTTGAAATTAACTGTATAAATATCTCATATTTACACTTCTTACATCTTTTCATTCAATCAGGTCTGAAATATTTAGCACTTGAGGAACATGACTATGCATAATTATACCTGACCATGGAAAAATAAGTACCTCAAATGCATGCATTTGCACTGGTGATTCCAACTGCACAAATCTTTGTGCCATCTGTGTATATGTGTATTTTTTACATGGATTGACATGCACATAAACCATTTTCATTCAGTATGAACCTTGAGGCTGCTGCCATTTTCCCACTTAATCAAACCAATGCCTGTGTAAACAGCCTTGAGGTGATCCTTGAAAACTTGTTTCATGAGTCTTTCAAAAGTTGTTTTGCATAAATGTTAAAATTTCAAAATGCTGCAGGGCAATTTAATGTATAAAATATTAGCAGAAGTATGTATTGCATACTTAGTAGATCATTATGTATAAATTCTATTCAGTGCATGCTTTAGGTTTTAAGCATGAGATTGTACACGTTTACTTAAGTCCTTGCATCTGTGGTGCTAGGTGAGTGTGAGAAGGTGTCAAGGACTGAAAATATTTTGTTGCCTAAAAAAAAAAAAAAAAGCCTGTTCATAGGCATTTTAAATATGCTTATTTTAAGTCTCTCTCACTACCTATTACACACCGTTGCTTTATGGGTGTGTGTGTATGTGTGTGTGTGTGTGTTATATAGTAATTAAATCTCCATGCAGAAAAATAAATGTCCTGAATTCTCATATTGGTATTCTTTATTGGTTAATGTATATCATGCATGTAATTTATTTAGAAATATAGATGATCCTACTAAATGTATATGCATGTTTTTAGGGTTATGCTAAGGTTTCTTTCATTAGAAGCAGATTGTTTTGGCATAACTGTAATTTAAGAATGAATGTTAAATAAAATACACAGGTTTATTTTCATCATTATAAAATGAAATGTCAAGGTTTTACTTTTGTAGAATTGATTCTATAATATGAGAAATTGGAATTTACTGTCTGCGCTAAAGGGATGGATTATTTCCATCTACCTTTTACAGCATATTCTTCATTAAACAGTTTAGTCATGTATTGACATATTTTGGTAGTAGCTGAGAACCTAAGACTTGGAATTAATATGTTGTATCTTTATTTTTTAAGCCAAGCAATGCAATTTTGGTCAGATCTTAATTGTGTGACGATAAGCTTTAAAATCGTATGATACTGTGTTTGTAACACAGATTTTTAATAGAGAATAGTTTCAGAAATGGAGTCTTCTGCAAGGGTTCTATATATTTTTCCACCTTGAATGAAATTCTCCAACACTTTGGTGTGAATTAGGTACTTTTAGAAAACTGAAAAAGAATTAGTTTTCTTCGTTTGCAGACCTTGTACAATACAATTACCATTACCTTATGGTAACTTGATTAGCCAAATGTGTGTATTTCTAGCCCTGTTTGTTTGCTCCTCTCCTCTATGCCTTTCAAGTTCCAGCTCCATTTTGAAAACTTGCAATTCATAAAGAGAAGGAAGGGAGGAAGAGGAGCAGAGAGAGAGGGGTTTCTTGAACAGTGTAATTTGCTGAGTAGAGCTTATAGTGACTGCAGGTAGAACCTCACCGCTCACTTTTCTGTCTCCTCCTGACCTTATAAACCAGGGTTAGTAGATGATTAAAGCATAGCAAGCAGTGTGGCTCCCCATTTTTATAGGACTAAGTCCAGGCTTCCATATCACTAGTTGCTGCCCTTGGTGTGTGCCAGGCCCTGGCCATGCCCAGCTCCTCCACTGCTCGCTGTCTACAGGTAGCCACGTGCCCTCTGCGTAGAAGCCCTCCTTCCCACAGATGCATCCTCCTTACCAAACTCATTTCTTCTTGAGCAATCGACCTCTCTCCCCTGAGCCTTTGCCGAAACTCCTGCAGAAGGGATGAATCCATCTTTTGTACTCCATAGCTGTATGTTTGTACCTTGGTCATGCCATGCGTCATAGCACATTCTAGATAGGCACAGTTGTTTGTCTCACCTACCAGGATGCGGACCCTTCAAGGGCACAGACCTTGTCTTACTCATCTCTATTTTCATAGTGAATGGAACATAGTAGAAAAGTGAATGTTGAAATTATTGGGGTAATATAACATATCAAATATCCTTTTGAATTAAGAGATCTAGTGATGTTTACTAAGAATGTAGACTGCGCATTGGTTTACATTTTGACAATTGGAACAGTTTATTGATGTAGAGCTACAATGTTGAATTATTTTATATTTTCTGGAAATTGAGTGAAATGTTGATAAAACGCCGCCATTCTTCTCTGGTATTTTCTCCCCTCTGGAATTATGTACTGTTGACTGGATGTAGGTGTGAGGAACGTAGCTCATTTCTGTGTGGCTAGTGCCTGAGGGCTACCACAGCCAGCCCTTTACCTCACTCCCGTTGTTCCTTCTGATGCTTGTCCTCTCCCCTCCAAACCCCACGCTCATGCCTACCTCAGTCCTGCTTTCCTTGTCTGAAATGTCTTCTGTCCCTTCAGTGTCCAGCTCAGGTGCCACCTACTGTATAAAACTTTCCTCACCTTTTGATCAGAATCATGATGCACACAAATGCAGACAGCCTCTGAATCTCACTACTTCGTTTTGCAGCTGAGGCAGTAAACCCAGAGTTGACTGACCATGTCGGGACTAGAACTGGGTTTCGTGACTTGCTGTGTTCTTAAAGTACGCTGCCTTCTGAATTCTTGTGGCATTTATTAGCTTGTGCTTTCTTAGAGTCCAACTTCTCATGTGCCTGCTAATAAGACTGTAAGCCCCTTAAGGGCAGGGACTTCTTTGCATTTCTAACACTACTGTAGTGCTCTATACTTAGTTATGAACTAGATAAATAAATGGTGGTGGCAACAATTCTAGTTTCCTAATTCAGATTGTTTCACAGTATACATACAACTTGTATGGCATGCGTAGCCATGTTGTCTGGAATATGTGTGTGCTCACATGTGCATGTGTGTTTGCATGTTTACACATGGAGTACTCCACCTCGGTTGGTTGGGAACATATATCTGATGGATTGCTATAAAGCAATTTTCTACTTCATGCTGAATGAGGACAAGTATGGGGCATAAGCGGGGACAAGTATGGGAATAAGGTATGTTCTTCCCCACCCCCACCCCCAGGCCTGGCTGCCCCTTCCTGGGGCAGTACACCTAAATCCCGCAGCTGGTGGCCTGATAGTGAAGGAAGTGCTTTTTTGGATAGGACTCGTGTGACCTGTGCGATGGCTGTCCCATTAGCGCTGATGAATCATCGTTGCCCTTCGTGCCTCGGTGGTTTCTCTTCACGGCTTCACGGCATTTTGTCACATTATTACTGGTTTGGTACTCTAGGTTGACAGTGGAGCCCTGTTAATTTAGATTTTGATACAACTGATCTACTCTTGTGTTTTCAGGTTTGGATCATGTACTTTTTGGGTAGAAAGCAAAGTATATTAGAAATATTGCATTATTTTGGCGTTCATGCATGGATAGTCATTCAAATATAAACTCTTAGTGGGTTTATATAGTTTGAGAAATAGACTTGAAATGTTTAAAATGCAAGAAAGCATATGATTAAGACATGTGAGTATGTGTTATAGATAAGGAAGAGAGATCTTGGATTGGAACAAAGACTTTCTGAAGTTCTCGAGCCCTTACAGGTTGGGGTGGGAGTCTGGGTGGTTGTGAAGCCCGTTTGGGGCATAGTCTTTGTAAAGCCAGAGGTCGGGGCAGTGTTAATGGTGTGGTCAGGGAGAATGAAGGTGCCATTCTGACAACGGACAGGATATTTGAATGTCAGAGGCTTTGCATCCTTGTAAGATATGAAAGTTTATTAATTTTAAATGGAAGTGACATTAAAATGAAAATATTTTAAAATAATGAAGAAAGTAGTATTAATAAAGGAATAATAAAAGAATCTTAATTAGATTGCCAAATAGCTATATCTTTAAAACAAAAAAGCATTGTTTTTACTACTTCATTAATTACTGCTCTTAAATTTAGTTTTTTAAAATCCTAACTTGGATTATTTTGTGCTTTTTCTTGCTTGAGTTGATTCTACCTCATTGTTAAATACAGTTCTGGTTCTATAATGGAATAATAGAGTTAACCTTGGAGAAATATTATTTTAATAGAATGGAAAAAATACTTTAAAAAAAGTCTGTTCTCCTTAGTACTGATGTTTCTATAATGAGAGAACTATGCACTATATAAAATGTAAACCTTATTTTTTGATTGAACTGAATTTCATTATGCAAGGTCTGACAATTGAGGTCACAAACTTGCCACCGTGTGCTTACATTGGCAGCACTGTACAAACAGCTCGGTAAGGTTTCATAACCTTGGCATATCAGTGTCTCACAGCTGTGTTTGTGTCGACATGTGGCGGTGTCTTGCTGAGTGGCGTTCATTATTGTTGCATGTTTTTGTGTGTCGTTGCGAGAATGTCTGAGCTTGAATTAGAGCAATGAACAAACATTACATATTTTTGTTAAACTTGGTAAGAGTGGAAGTGAAATCAGGGACATGCTAGTCCAAGTTTATGGGGATAATGCCATGAAGAAAATGACAGTGTACAAATGGATTAAATGTTTTTCTGAGGGGAGAGAATGCGTCACTGATGAAGAGAGGTCAAGGCAGCCAGTAACAAGCAGAACTGATGAAAACATTGCAAAACCTTGTCAAATTGTGCATCAAAATCGTCAGCTGACTGAGAAGCATAACAGATCAAGTAAACATGGATAGAGAAACAGTTAGGAAAAGCTTACCTGAAAATGTTGGCATGAGAAAGGTGTGTGCAAAAATGGTCCCAAAGGAGCTCACGGATGAACAAAAGCAAAGGAGAGTTGGAGTTTGCCAAGACCTTTTGGAGAGGCAAGATGATGTTTTGGGCTGTGTTATCACTGGTGATGAAACATGGGTGTACCAATATGACCCTGAAACAAAGCATCAAAGTGCACAATGGAAGTCATCCAATTCTCCACCACCAAAAAAGTTCCATCAGTCCAAATCAAGAGTCAAAACAATGTTGCTAAACTTTTTTGTTTTATCAGAGGGATTATTCATTATAAATTTGTACCAATTGGACAAACAGTTAACCAAGTTTACTATTTGGAAGTGCTGAAAAGGCTGCATGAATAAGCTAGAGGAAAACAACCAGAACGTTTTGCAAACAGTGTGTGCCCTTGCATCACGACAATGCACCAGCTCACATGGCACTGTCTGTGAGGGAGTTTTTAGCCAGTAAACAACTGTATTGGAACACCCTCCCTACACACCTGATCTTGCCCCCACTGCTTTCTTTACCCGAAGATAAAGGAAATATTGAAAGGAAGACATTTTGATGATATTCAGGACATCAAGGGTAATATGATGACAGCTCTGATGGCCATTCCAGAGAGTTCCCAAATTGCTTTGAAGGGTGGCATTGGTGCATAGCTTCCCAAAGGGAGTACTTCGAAGGTTACTGTAGTGATATTCAGCAATGAGGTATGTAGCACGTTTTCCTAGGATGAGTTTGCGAACTTAATTGTCAGACCTCATATTGTAATTGATTAAAACATAACCAAAATCACATATTTATTGAGGGCTTGGGTAGAAGAATAAAGCAGCTTCTACCTGCAACGTGTTCATTATTTAGCTGAAGTAATACGTTTTTAAAAATGCAAGATCATAGCAGTTGTGCAAGAGACCAATAGAAAGGTCACCAAGCTATACCTAATGCTCATTTAATAACACAGCTCAGTCCTACCGCCTCCGCTTCTACCAGAGTGGCTGTGTTTTGACCTATTTTATTTCTCCTAGTACAGATGTGATTTGAAGATAGGGCTCTTTAGCTAAAAACATTTGAAATGCCTATTAGACATGTAAGTGGACGTGTGTGCCTTGCATTTTGGGTGATTTCCTCCGTATTGTCTTCCAATTCACTTAACTCTTTCACGATATCCACCTTACTCTGTTTATTGTATTTTAAATATTAAACTTTTTCATCTCCAAGATTTCTAATTGATTATGTCCATCTGATTTTATTTCCTTCCCCCCCCCATTTTTATTAAATAATTTACAGTTCTTTTTTTAATGGAAGTGGAACTTGCATTGATCTCTTTAAACATTCTCTATCTATTTTATTTTATCCTTTTTAGGCTGTTCTGGAATGAATTCCAGTTCTGATTTTGTTGATTTTATTGGCTCTCTTCCTTAATACTGAGTCTCCTCCTGTATGTTGGAGTTTTGGTATACAAGATCATGTTTCTGTTACTTTCCTTCCCTCTTCCAACCTCCAATGGTCTTGTGGTTATTTTCCTTAGGAGCTTCAGGACCTCAATCTAAATCTGGGTGTATGATTGTACCTAGTAATCAATACCCGTAAAGATACTGGGGACATTACATCCCACTCCAGGGTCACTAGGTGGCATCATTTTGATTTCTGGTTCAAGGAGGTTTATTTATACTCTGTCTGTCTATCTAGTTTTCTCTTTTTGTAGTCTGCTTATTTTTTTCTGTGTATTTGGAGCAAAGATTTGTTTGCGGTTTTTTGTTTGTTATTTTTTGCATTAAACTCACCAAATCATCATACAGTGTTAAAAATCCCCACCATCCCAGAGGACTATGTTGTAGGTTCCTGCTCCCCAGAGGGGACCAGAGTTAATGTGGAAGTTTGAGGTTCTCCAACTGCCCAACAGCTCACCTCCTACTTTTGGGTGTAGCATTTCCTTTTCAGGAATTCTTTCTCCCCTGTTGGGTAGTCTTTGAAGAAACGTAAAATAAAGTATCCTCCTTTCCCCCAGCCAAGAGCTGCGTGCATGAACAAAGCCAAACCAACTGGACTGACCCCTGGATTGTTGCATGTTAATCAGAGCAGCCAGAGGCTAGAACAGGCATTTAGACTGTTTCCATTCCACGTCAACTTAAGTGGATTCTGCAGTGAAACCCATAGGATCTTCCTGATTCTTTTTCTTTCTGACCTGACACTTTGGCCTTCCCTTCAATTCTGTGAGATCCCCCTCATCCCTCTAGTAAATTCCTTTCTTCTACTATTAGAGGAAGTTCTGTTGCTTACATGCACGTAAACTTGACTGATAGATGTATACACATCTAGAATATGTACCTTTACAGATGTGTATACATCTACAAGCATGTAAATGTTCAGATGTAATTTCTATACACCATGCTTGCAGTTCAGCAGCTTGCATTTTCTTCACACATGTCAGAGACTTTATATACTTAGCATCAAACAAGAAGCAATTATGAAGTAATTCAAGTTGGTAGGAGCCCAGCCTGTGCTTTTGCTGCCTTGTGAACAGTGGCTCGAGTGACTCTGTCCATCCTCGTGAAGGTTCTGCTTCCACTGTTGCCTCCCAGCCTTGTCTCCCACCTCAACCCAAGTCCTCCCCTGCTGTCACTCTTCTCACTGTCTCATAATGTATTTATACTCTCTCTTCTTGGTATCTTTGTTTTCACCATTTTTCCTATTATTTTACTTCTTTCTGCAAGAACAGCTCATCTCAGAGGCCTGAAGCCTTTTCTGAATGCCTCAGCTTACAGGGCAGTGCCCTTCCTTCTCCCCTGAATTCCAGGGGAGCTGACTACTATTCCCCTGACAGTTACTTGCCTTGTTACTTATGTGTGCGAGTCTAGGATATAAAGAACAATGAGACATTGCTTTGATGGCGTGTTAGAGACACTTCTCAATGCTTGGTTACACATACACTTGCCTTCTGTCTTTCGAGTGCCCATGATGGCATTATATTCATTCTGTTTGATCCATTAAGTGGGCTTACACAGGAAATTTATTTCATGATCCAGCACTAAAGATAGAGAAGAAGCCAGCTGCCAAAAAAAGGAATTTGACTTTACTTCCACCCCAGAAACCTG